AAAACCCTCTTAACCCGGTTATGATGCTTAAAGTAGCCTCATGTTTTGAAATGCTGTTTTTATATTGTTTACTTATAAGAGAAATGGACCGAGAAATTGAAGCGGCATAGACAAAAACGGATTGTCGGGGTATTAAATTTTAGCTGCCTGCTACAATTTAGTACAAACCAGTCACACAAAGTTTTTTTAAAAGTACACCTCATCTATACCGATAATACATAATATAAAAATATTGAATATAAGCACCAGTACTACATTTATTTACTATTTGCATACATAATAAGCTTTTATTACTCTCTTTCATTTCTAAACAGACGTATTCATTTTTCCGCCTTCTAGCCTTATAGGGTGGCCTTATTTGTCAGGCAGTATATCATGCCTTTCAAAAGAGCTCTAATTTGTGATTCCCACGCTAGCACTATATTCGCCTCGCCTTGTATCTAGATTAAAGCGAAGACTTTATACTGTTGAATTTTCATTGCCCTCTAAGCATATAATTAATGTATGGCTGGAATGAACTTGTACACAGATTTTTATTTCTTCTGAAAGAGTACAAATGCAAATTTATTTTAATTTACTCAGCAGCGTAATTGCTTTAAACAGCGGATGCAAAAACATCTCATTTGTTTATTTCCTCAGTTGCAGAGGATAATAATAGCTGAATAAATAAATAAATAATTCAACAGGAGAGATGGACTCGTAGGTTATTCTCATGGTAACGAGAGGGAACTTACTGAAACTTGTTGTGTCTGATTTCTGTGAAGAAAGGAATAATTGTTGTTTCAACTCTGCCAGGTTAAAAATTGCAACGAATATACCTTTGGATCCGCAACAAAACCGCCCACAGCACCAGTTTTGCATCATGCAAATCGACTGAAACTTAAATTTATTTCGCACCTCCCCCATAAAACTTGCAAATAGAGCGACGGACCTCACAGCGTAAATAACAAACTTTATTCGTTAAAACTCCGTCCTGGTGCGACGTTTTAATCTACGAATAAATTATTAAACATCAAGCGCAACTTCCTGGATGTGTCTAGGACCTAGAGTGGCGTTTGTAGCAAGCGCTTTCTGTTCCCACATGCTTGAGAGTTAATACATATTCATTTGACGAAACGTCTCTGTTGACGACGGAAAGTTTTCGCCTTTATTGCAGTGATGAATATGAGAACTTCCATAATATCGCCGTGCTTAAAATTCAATGGGGTGTCAAGGAAATTGTGTTTTATCCATCTCTCACATGTTCCACGAGCATTTCGTTGGGAAATGGTTCCGCTTGAGCTGGTTTACGTCTACTTTTGTCGGTCCTGAGTAAAACTCGATCGACGGTGAAATATGTCTTTGCCTGGATGTATTAATGCTGGAAGAAACGTGATAAGTGTTTCGGGAGTTCAACTTAATTGTTACTTTTTTGTGGATTCTCATCAAATGTTTAGTCGTACTTGTTTCGAAGAAGTTTAAAAGTGGCGCACTATGAGTTGGACATAGTGGTCATGGTACATGGAAACAAGTATTTTAAAAAATTTAGACAAATATAGCATCAAAATGGAGGAGGGCCCTAAGGCCGGTTTTAGCCTAATTTATTCTTGGCTGAAAAAATCTAAAAAAATTTTTTAGTACCTATTAGCAATACTGAATCGTTCCACCCTAAACGGACCAACCCCCTCACCCTCCTTTCCCCTTCCACCCCCTTAAATGAGATGACACACATTTACATTGAATAAAACGAAAAAGAAAAAATCATCCATGTTTGTGCATATTTGATTAGCCGCTTTGAATTCCGTGATTCTGAATTCATAATTGTAATCAGTGATCCAAGAAAGTTTCTATAAATATTTGAGGATTATGAAGATCTTTTTAATTTTTTTGGCCTCCATATGGAATACGCCATTTTGAAATTCATAATTCTGCCTTCAGATTCGTATTCAGAGACCCAAAAAACACCGCTGCACAAAAATTCATGAATTGTAAAGACATTTTAATTTTTTTGTCCGCCATATTGAAGCCGCCATTTTGAATTTCGTGATTCATAGTCCACATTCGTAATCACAGACCCAAATACCCCACTACAAACAAAATTCATGCATTTTGAAGACACTTCAATTTTCTTGTCCGCCATATTAGATCCGCCATTTTGAATTTCGTGATTCTGAGATCAGGTTCGTGATCAGCGACTCAAAAAACTCTTCATGTGTAAGATTCATAGGAATTGAATGTCTTTCGCATCTCTAAGCTCTAATCTTTAAAGATAAAGATTCCTCTAATAATAAGCGATGGTTTTCTCGGCATTTAAGGGGGTGGAAAGGGAAAGGAGGGTGAGGGGGTTGGTCCGTTTAGGGTAGAAACGATTCAGTATTGCTAGTAGGTACTAAAAAAAAAAAAATTCTGATATTTCAGCCCAAAAACCGGCCCTGTCTCACCCTGTACATATCCAACATTTTTTTTATCCGTATTAAGGACGTCATCATCTTTCATAAACGAAAAAAAAAGGAAAACTGAACACAAAGTTTCCCAATCCAGAAATACTACGTCAATTTTTATATCAAAGATTTATAGATATAGATTTATAGATGTTTACGATAAAAAAAATTGTAGACGTCGTCAAGCCTTTCCAGTTGTAAAATATTCCCTGGACAATATATGGACTTTAACTTTTCTTATCCTCAAAGTTAAAGTTTAGATGTCTTTCTTCGTGTATGAATCTGCGAAGAATATGCCCTTAGGACATAGTAATTTTAAAAGATAAATTATATACTTTTTAAACTCGCAAGGAACTGCACAACTTTGTGTGAACATTTCTCAAGCACAGATAAGTAAAAATACTTATACAAGGTGTTTGTAAACAAGTGCGAAATATTTTAGGGGGTAGTTGCTGAAGTTATTTTGTGAAAAAAAATCATATAAACGTAGATCGTAGGTTATTTATTTTTATTAATTATTTGAAAGAGTTTTAAAGATATTGACTCGAAATTTGATGGTTGCATTTTATTTAGAAATATTGACAGCAACTTTCTAGATAATGTATCAACTATCAATACAAATTAAAAATACACAACTTGCAATAAAATATGTTTTATTTTTTTCCTCAAAAACGGTGCATGCTACGAAAGAAATTGAGGAAACCAATTTCATTCAGAATTGATGGTGAATTTAAAAAAAAATATCAAAACGGGGAAATGTCGGTGGCGTACCATTTTTTTATTAAAAAGGTTGTGGCATTCTCGCACGAACGCCACTGGTGCAAGTAAAACTATTCGGATCACCCCAAAAAATGCACATTTATCCCTCCAAAGCGTTCTTCAAATTTCGACTCACTATCTTTAAAACTCTTTGAAATAATTAATAAAAATAAATAAAAAATTAAAATATGAACACTCTCGGAAACAAACTATTTCCAGCGTTAAGAATGGTTCTGACTTTTCCGTGTCTACGCCACTGGCAGATTTATGAAAATCATAGTTCTTGAAATATTAATTTTTACTTGGATGTCCTTTTTTGTACAATTTGATACGTTGAATATGAACTGCTGTCAGGAAATTGAATCTTAAACTTGTTAACACGATGACAACCAGAGTTTTCGTATTTTAAAAGTTATTTTTAGACACCGTCACACCGCTCGGAATCCGCCGCAAGATATTTCAACGGGACTTTTTCTATTTCCAGGACAAGCAGTTCGGTAAAGTCGCCCTCTTTTTTCCCCACAGCAACCCAGAGGCGGAGATCGTCTCCGGTATCAAGCACTACAAGCAGTACACGTTAGAAAGGGCCTATCTGGGAGAAACGTTTTTCTGGGGTCTCCTTCCGCAGCCGGGAGATCAGCTCGTCTTTAAGTTCGCCACTCCGATAACCATTAAAAGGTAATTATTCTCAGATTTACTTTTTTTTCAAATACCTACACTGATTTTTACATCGCGCGACTTGTAGCTTAAGATAGCGCATTCGATTTACCACGAAAAAGCGATTTGTGGTTATAAAGTGTCATGCAAGCAACTGATTTTTGTTTTATATTTACTTACTTTCACCATGAAGGCAATTGGTGCATTCTTGAAGATGATTTGCGTATATCCATCTATAGGATTGACTTCAAAGATTAAAATCATCAGCAAATAGCAAAGACTCACAAGTAATGACTTCAGGAAAATCGTTAGTAAAAATTGAAATTAATAATGGGACCTAAATTGGAACCTCGTGGAACACCCGATGTAGGAGAAATCGACGTCGAAACGAAATTTTGATATCTGATATAACAATCATAATTGTCTGTCACTTAAGCAGAAGGTTTCTTTAATGACTTCTGATCAAATGCTTTTTGGAAAACTGTATAAATAATCGTCCTGTGTTCTATTTTTCAAAATCCCAGGAACATATTTCCAGAACACAACCAAGTTAAATACTGTTCTTTCTATTTGAATGAAGCCATTCTCATGTGACAAAATAAACTGTTTCGTGGAATAATATAAATAAAGTTTCAAAAATTTTCTAGAAATTGCGGAGTAAATAAGTGTCTCTACAATTAGATTCACCATATAGGGTGGATCTGTCGAAATATCACAGTTCTTGGATGTAAGAGGTAGGAATACATTCAGTACAACTCACATAATAAAAGTGTAGATCCCTAGATCTGGGCGAGGTTCGGAACATTTTCAAAATTGCAAAAGTGTTTATAAAATACCTATTTTGTTCGAGTTTTTTATCTAGGGATCTACACTTTTATTATGTGAGTTATACTGAAGGTAATCCAGAAAAAATTTGCTTGTTCCCTCTCACATCCACCTCAAAACAGATCCGCCCTGATGTAATTGTGATTTCCCTTTTTTTTGTATGAGACAAATGTATGTCCCTTTCCCATACAATGGGAAGGTCCCAACAATATGCATATTTTTCTATACAATCCTCCATCTTTTGAGAATATAGTACACCTCTTATTTAATCTCTTTATCACCTTTCAACTTTACTCTTATTGATCTTCAACTCTTTTGATCAACTCCTACGATTGTCTTTCGGCTCATTCCTCCAAGAATGCCATAATAACTATCAATATTCTGAAAAGCGTGAGTCTCTCCAGGGTTGTAGATGACCTATTTTGGCTAATTCATTAGCTTTCTTATTGTTTTCATGTCAAAGCTAGGCCGCTAGGCTTGCTAGCGTTGCCAAAACATCCAGACATCTTTCTCCATTGGAAATAAATGTGTGCTGATGTTGTACCTACGAAATCACATGTTGGATAGTGTCATGAAGTGTAAATACGTTTAAAATTTTCTATCTCTATATTCTGCTTCAGTTTAGAAGTAATTGTTTAAATTATGCATACTTACTGATTTAAAAGAAAACACTGTTCTTTTATAAAACGTTGAATGGTACTAATCGGATAAGATTTCCCCCAAGCTACTCAAAATATTATGGTTATTTTCCTTGTTGTTGTTGTTGTGTCGTTTCCAGACGGCAAGAAATATGAGTATTTATCGTCAATTTAAAAAACTCCGTTCTTGTTTTATGGAAAGGAAATAAATATAAATATAAATATAAATTCGAGCTTATTCCGTTTCCAAACTCGTCGCGTTCTTATTATACTTGGAAATATTTCATTTTCTCCTTATTCGCTTACAACATCTGCCACACGAGGCGGCCGATTCAAATCCTCCAGTTAATATTTGTGCGGCATAATCCGGAGAGAGAAAAAAAATCGGGTTTTGTGAAACTTGTAAGTGGATGAGTGTAATGGAAAAGCCCACGCTGGGCTCGTTTTTTATAAATTAATTGGGGTAATTATGGGAGCTTAAATGGTGATGCTTACCAGTTTTCCCAGTTCCCGCAATAATTCCGAAAGAAAGAAAACGTTTCCTTCAATTTATCATTCTTCGTCTAATGCCTTGTGCTTCATTTTTACAGAAACAATTATTAAACTTTTCACTCGCACTTAAAACTACAGACAATTTATGATCAAACATCAAAAACTTCAGTTCGAGGTCTTTTTGTGCAACACTGGGCGTTCCACAAGGTTCCAATTTAGGTCTCACGTTAGCTGAAGGTTTTATTAACGATTTTCCTGAAGTCTTTTGTTTGCTGATAATTTTACACTTTATTCTGAAGTAGACATAAGTCGCGGTAACTTTTATTCATACCTGAGTAACGCTATTCCACTAACGCCTTGTATATTTCACTTTATCGCTTCTGTTGCAGGTTCTACTTCAAGAGCGGCAATGCGGAACATCCCTCCGATAAATTCTACAACACGACCGTCGAAGTGCTGCCTGTGGAATCCAATCAGTACGGCAATTCTTTGAACGTGACAAGTGACGGTTATATTGTTGTGGGTGAGTCACGTAACAGATATTATATTTTGCCTCGGTAGCTGTCAGAGCTGTTAAGATTCAAGTTGTGAATAATTTGTTGAATATTGGACCAATCTTATAAAGATCTTTCTTATTTGGTACTTGCCTGTCGCGATAATACATCTGATATCGTCTTCTTGCATCAGCATCGTTTTGTCCTGACATAAAGTAGGCTCTAACCATGTCAACTCTTTCTTGACTTTCATACCTACACGTTTTTATAATATCACGCAAAATTTGAAAAGAAACACACAAAAATACACTGTATTTGTAATATTGATGTCTAGACATTTTTCACAATATTTTTTCTGGATTACCTTCAGTACAATTCACATAATAAAAGTGTAAGTTCCTAGATCTGGGCGAGGTCCGGTACATTTTCAAAATTGCAAAAATGTTGATTATTTTCCCTTTTTTTCGTTAATTATTGCTATTTTGCAACATCGGTAATAAATTTAAACATTTTTAATATGCAGTATATTGTGCAAAATTCAATTCTTAAACTTTTTTTCCTCTTCAATATTATTCCAAAATGCATAGGTTCCAAGATATAAGCAAAAAACTCGAATATAATAGGTATTTTTTTAAATTTTTTAAACGTTTTTGCAATTTTGAAAATGTTCCGGACCTCGACCAGATCTAGGGATTTTTATTATGTGAGTTGCACATTTCAGCAAAAATTAGCTTGCCCCTTTTACATCAAGAAGTGTGATATTTCGACAGACCCGCCCTGGTCTAGTCTTAAGCTGAACTTTTTTCGTTGGACCACAACTTACCTGAGGTTCTGTAGAAATGTTTCGAGACATTGAGTACCCTTTAGACATTTTATTTAAAGGTTTGAAACTGATAAAATGCAATGCAGACAATTACTTAGTTTGACTAAGAACAAATCAAGAACACAATAAGCTTTTCAGAAAATACGAAATTTATACAATCTTCGCATGTAACAAGTAGCTCTTGTCATCGCCTGTAGTATTAATACAAATGTGGCTCTAGCTCTCCCTGGGAAGCTCGAGAAACATCCAATTTATTTGTAATACGTCTCTAAATGTCTCTCCACACGACATCAGTGTCTGGGGTAGACAAGTTTTCTAGAAATAAAAATTCAAGACGTCTAAATAATGGAACAAATACGTCCTGCTGATTCGGCAGATACTGCTTACGAAACAGTGACTCCTTCCGTGGAGGGGTTCCGTATTGGATAAATTCGGTTTCTTTGTAGGGCCTTTTCAAATAATATTGCGACGTAGGTATAGAATTTGCTCTATCGAATCAAGGATTATGAAGAAAAGACTTCAGAATTGTACGCAGGGTGCATGTTAGTTTTCTTTTACACTCTTGTTATTGAAACTTTGAAATACTGAGTATGTTCGTTACTTCAGGCTAGAATAATAGTGGCGGACTTCCTCTGGGTCGACGTTGTGCCCTACACATCCCGTTGCTTTACAAGCTCCAGACGGTTCCGCTGCAATTAGTTCTAATGAAGCGGATAATCTGATTCTAATAAAGCTTTATGTACGTAGACAAAACGTTATTTAAGCATCCCCTTTCTCTCTCGCCGAGGATATGGTTCGCGAACAACGGAAACAAAGCGAACAAAAGTTAGTTTTAATGAGATTGTTATATGAATATACGCTTCCAGTTATTGTACAGTGTACGTAGATTGGTTGAAAAATTATTCGTTCGGCATCTACGTCTGGGTGTTTGAGTCCATTATTTTTGTAATTAATTATCACTACTTGTACCGAAAATTTCACATAATTTACGCACACTCTCAGCTACACACTCTCCCTACCTTATAATTCATTTTTACAATCTTCACAAATTTTTTAGGGCTCATAACTTTTTAGATGTTTTGGCTGAATTTTTTGCACTAATTATGATTCTAGATCTTGGTATAACCAACATTCATTTGTCAAAAACCTAATTCGTTAAGACTAAATAAACTTTCCTCCGTATCTGACGCAGTTTACCGAGTTTAATATTTATTAAAACACTTAAGCGAGAAAGTATTTAATGATATAAACAACTTAGACTCTAATTTTTTCCCGGAAACGCGAAATATCTCCAGAAAACCCATTTAATATCTTTGCAGAGGGTCTCTTTCGCAGCTATACAAACTTTATAATTCCTTTACCAACCCTTTTGTACATAAATACGTTTCCTCGAGTTCCAAGCTTCTGTGAGAACGCATCTCAAGATTTAAATTATTTGGTTAGAGTAAAAAGTTGGGTCGTAAAGCGTTGTAACATCTGTTTTTAGGAACATTGTGTTCCATATTTGGCATGCACTTAAACTCTTTAAACTAAACCAATGTGAAACTCTTTATTGCTTTTGGACGTTTCGCAAACGTAATAATAACAATAATACATCACCAAAAGAACTATTCATCAACTTTAATTGATAACTGGTTTCCAAACTCCTTTCCTCAAATAAATCTACGCATTTCTGTAAGTTTAAGTAATGATTAATAGAATGTATGTGTAAAAATAGATTTATATCAACGGCGGAAAACAAATGACTAGATTTTAGTGTTAGAAATAGATCGTTAATAAACAAAATAAAAAGGTGTGGCCAAGGTTGGATCCTTGAGGTACACCGGAACTTTGAGAAGTCTGTATACGCCACATTACCGATGAACAGTAGTCCACACCCGCTAATTCCGACTAGCGGATATACTAAAGCGGCGAACGGAATATATTTATCGGAACAGTTAACGCCGGTTGCAAAAATGTTAAATTTCCATACATTTTCATTTTTACTTGCGTTGCGTAACCGGAAGATAGTAATGAGCGGCCTTGCTCGCCAATTCCCAAGATAACAACTTAACGAGTCAAAGCACTTAATCCAGATCATAGCATGCCATCATCCGTCGCTTTTACGTTTCTTGGAACAACTAATTACCATTGGAAATAATACAATACTTATTTGATATTAATAACACAACTCCCCAGTGATTTCCTCTACTTACTGTTACTTTATGGCTATTTATAAAGCAACACTGGAGTCTCTTTGGTCTTACAGGGTGTACTAAAAAAACATGAACGTCGAATCGAATCATCAAATAATATCTAATTTCTTTATTCATACACTACAAATGTTTGTAACAAAATAATCATAAATTTCATGAAATATATTTCCCTTAATCCTTAATTTTACAAACCGTTACAGTAACTTAAAATATTATAAGCATAGTACAGATGCTTAAAGTCTATAAGAAAACTTCTTATTAGGTTTAATAATATTCCACTCTTTTGTAACACGATAATAAAAATAGAGTCCCAAATGCAACTTCAAATACAGTCAATATTATCGTTAAGGAAGACAACACTTTTTCCAATTTGATGGCAGGATCTTGTATCAGTAACGTGTAGAAGATCGTAGCTATCGTTACGCTTGTCATAAGAACAGCAAACGCCGTTACCAACTCTAAAAAATAAAGAAATTACTGGTGATTAGCAAAGGTGTAACACAGTATAAGGCTAGGATCATTCGTCAGCAGAATGTCCTGGTTCAGAACTTATTAATTCCATGAATCTGGTATAGGTGGGATAGCTGATGAATGATTTAACTTCTTACAAATCGAATGAATCATGATTATTATGGTAAAATCGAAAAAATCACAAAAATGGGGTTAAAAAACAATACTTTTTAGGGAATTTTTTTGGTGTATTTAAATTGGGTGTAGGACCTTTAAACTTGGCTCAAGAAATCTTCATGTTATGTAGAATCATCACACCAAATTTCATCAAAATCGGTTCGATAGATTTTGCATTATAATTTTGCAATCCAGATTAAAAAAAAAATTGCAAATTTTCAAAATTTTACACAGCAAAAACCAAGGCCCGTACATACTTGAAAATTTAATCACATATAGAAGGGCTCTAAGGCTTTCAAACATTTTTTGAAAAATTCGAATCCGTCAATTAGGAGAGCTCTGGCGCTTGTTTAAACATTGGTCGAATTTTTGTACTTTATAAACAATTAGAACTTTGTGAATATTTATTCAAATCAAATTTTTTAAACCAGGTTTTAAAAGTTCTTGGAAAAACGTTTCTTTAAAAAAAAAACAGATCGATTGATCAATTAGTTGCGTTTTTTAATCTGAATTGCAAAATTATTATGCAAAATATATTGAACCGATTTTGATGAAATTTGGTGTGATGATTCTACATAACATGAAGTTTTCTTGAGCCAAGTATAAAGGTCCTACACCCAATTTAAATACACCAAAAAAATTCCCTAAAAAGTATTGTTTTTTAACCCCATTTTTGTGATTTTTTCGATTTTTACCATAATAATCATGATTCATTCGATTTGTAACCAGTCATGTATTATAAAAAATTTAATTACAAACATTTTTTTCCTCTTCCATTTTCGCCTAAAATCAACTCTTAAAAAGATACATAATTAAATAGGAAGAAAAAGATGACATTTTTCCAATTTTTTTAACATATTGTGCCGTCAAAAGTTAAGCCCACGTTTTTTTTTATGCTCATAGAAAAATTTTCATTTCTAGTGATATTTGAAAGCCAAAAAGCCAAAAATCTCCGTGGATATACGATTCGCCCAAGCCAAAACAGATACCGCTTGGCCTATAATAGATGTCCTTTAATTAAAAAAAATGTCTGTAAAACAACCGAAACAGTGTGCCATACTTACTTTTACTCTTATCCTTGTACCTATTGAACACCACCAGCTTCAGTACCTCCACGAACAACCTGGTGAAGCACACGGCGGCGTCTTGCCCTATATTCGGAGTGTCCCTCAGCGGACTTATGTACTTCGCCAGAGCCATGATAGACTCGCACGATGCGAACACAGGGTAATAGTAGGCGTTGATGTATATCAAACACTCGAACATCAACTCGGAATCAACCTTCATGTCGCGAGGAGCGTTCTCACTAAATGCCTCGAGAACAGAACCTTGCAATTTATTTTTGGATGTACCTATCATTTTTTTTGGCAGCCGTCCTAATTTATTTACGGAGTCATAATATCATTCGTTTGGTGCTTCTCCGGACGAAGAGGAGCGTCCGCTTCTTTACAAGCGTCGTGGGGTGCTGGTGGTTTTGGGAAACGTGCCGGGAAGTCGATCGTCTTGTAAAGTTCCGTTTTTTTTTTCGCTTATGGCGGTCGTTCAGGAAATAGTGTGAAATGTTTTTGTCGTGCTGTTAGTGTAGAAACTAAATGGATATATGATTTTGATGCTCTATTAAGGGTGCATAGATGAAAATTTTCACCCAACGATTAGTAGATCAACTATAAATACGATTTCAAATATAAATGTCTTCGAAAACTGATACCTACTAACTAGCTCTTTGATATAGACCAGGAAAGGAAACATTTTGAAATTTTTTAACTACTGGGTGTGATTTTATTGTTGGAAAGTCTTAGGAATGATAATACAAAAGGCGTCTCATCAAATGGGTCATGAAAAAAGGATAGCGTCATTGTTTTTTATCAACAAATAGGTCAAAAATTCGTCATTTTTCGTTGTACGTGTTATTGTAAAAAAACTATTAATCTTAGCAAAAAAGTTCAAACATAGTTTTGTACTAAGGTAAGATAAGGCAGGTCGATCTATTTTCACGTCGAGAATTTTTGGTAGAATTGGTACAAACCTTTCGGGGACACCCAAATGGCGAAGTGGTTCCTCTTTGAAAATTAAGGAAATAAATCTCTCCTTTTACTTTTTTCCTTCAATATTTGATATTCTCTGTTTTTGAGCAAAATTAATTATGTTGCGATATGTATCTTGATCTGTATTAAGATAAAATTTCCACACTTCTATTTTGTATCCAATTAAACGTTATTTTAAGACGAACAAAATATCTGGAAATGTTCCTCTTGGTGGGTACTCTCGACGAAATTGATACCTATAGGCAACTAATCTATTCAGTTTCTGTATTTAAAGTGAAGTCACCCTGTATACAGGATGGTCCAAATTTTGTGCAGGAAACTTCAAGGGTAAATAGATCTCTTTAAAATAAGATATGTTTGCCTTATACACATTGGTCTGGAATAGCCAAGTTTTAGAGATACAAGTCGTCAAAAAAATATATTTTTTTGTTTATATCTCCGGAATCTATTACCCGATCTCAATAAAATTTAGTACAGATAATCTATGACAGTAGGCCTTACATTCCCTAAAATATGAGCTCTAAAGGTACAACCAGTGGTGTACAACTGGGGTCATCTCCTTTTTTATAAAAAAAACCTACGCCACTGCATTTTTTACAAGTTATTGTAACTTGTAAACTTCACACCCTGTATCTCGAATACCGAGTCGCGCAGGAAAAAAGTTTATAAAGTAAACTCTACTTATTTTTTGTTAATGAATCTAGTCCTGCAATTTCTGTATTTACAATGAAATCACCCTGTAGATATTCAAAAGGTTGAATTTTATTTACAAACTGGCAAATGTTATACAAAAAGTTGATTTGGAACAGAACCTCTTTTGACCATATTTCCCCACACTATTATTAAAAATAATTAAAATAAAATATCCACAAGTTTTGTATTTACCCGTTTTTTAAACGCGTACCTAATTATTTTCATTCCACCACTGAAAATCTGCAATTTACCCGGGCAAATACTGTAATGCAAAAGAGGCTGCAGAAACATAAACAGCAAATAACGAAGGTTTCACGGTAATAGGAGTTTTTCACCCCGTTTTATGGGTTTGTGCACCAATTTGGAGCCTTTTAATCCCTATTAAAAAGCCTATGCACTATTCGGTTTAGTGGTTCGTGGAGTGGATTGAACTTTGAATCCACCTGGATGCATATTTTATCGATATGGATAGAAATAAAGACTTTTACATTAAATAACACATCTATCACATATTAACATGTTGGTCCTATGGTTTTAATTTTATTAAATCATAATACACCAAATTAATTTAATAAATATTTTATAAAAATTAAATAAAGTCGTGGTATGAGAATACGGGTAAATATTATTGTGGATATGAAATAATTTAAAACAAAAATGTTATTGGAAAGCAGTAAATATAAATTAGAATATAAAGTTGTTCCTAGTTGTGTAATTATCTCTCATAAATCATCTTTATTCGATGAGTAACGACTTCCTTTAAACTGTCGAATAAAATTTGTCGTAAATCGGCCTTCCTTAACAGTTTCGAAAGAATGTGAAATTTATCGTCAATTTCCTGATACCATGCACTTAACAGATTGCCATTTGAAAACCTTTAAACATTTTAACAATCTTCGACAAAGTATTAAGAACTGCAAGCAACCAATTATTGTAGATAAATTCTTAAGAAAGCATGACGATTTTAACGGGGAGCATATTTTACTAGACTAACAGGGGGAAGAAAAACTATAAAAAAATTTTAATGTCAGTCTTCCAGAGAAGTGTAAAAAGTAAATGAGGTTTAACCGTGATTTGGCAATTAAAATGCGGCCCTAAAAGCTTACTTGAAGGAGCTTTTAGAAGCTTTAAAACGGTTTAATTATCCTGTCAATATTAATTCAGTTGAAAGGCTGCAAAACATCGTACTTTTATTGGTATTTCGCTGCATCTGGGTTTCATGTTTCAAAATTAGAGTCATTACAGAACAGATTCCATTCATCATAATTATTAAATGGAGTCTGTGAAATACAATTACAGTTCGTGTGTAATTGTGTAACAATTGTAATGTGAAATTTTTTAGTTTCATATATTTCACATGCTGAAAAAATCTATTTTATCCACAGCCACCTTATAATCGGACTTTTATCCACACATCTGACCCGTCGAAAGTGATTCTTTACCAACTAGTAGAATATAGTAACTTTATTTCACTATGAAAAAATAATAAACCTATAATAAATCAAATAACTATTAATCATCCCTTTTTAGATTTTTAGGTTGTTATCCACGAAAACGTGTTTCATATTTTTGCTGCTTTACTTTAAAAATTTCTGTGCCTTTGTCGCTTTCATTCATTGATTCAAAAACCCGTCCGCAATTAGCACAAACAAATAATGAAATGCTCAAAAGCGTTGCCCGTACATAAACATCGAATAATGAAGGCCGAGCCATAATCAGAATTTTTTATCCCCTTTTTTATCGTACTCGCTCGAATTCAGGGCTTTTTATCCTATTAAAGCTCTCGCATACCGTCAGTTTTAGTACCACATGAAGTGGATTTAAATGCGAACCACCTGGACGCGTATTTACACAGATCTGAAGATTAAAAGAGAAATAATCCGGGCGCAGTTCGAAAATATTTTAATGGCAACATATTCGGAATTTTAAATAAAATTTGCGATACAATAACTGAGTATTTGATTGAAAAAAGCTTTAAATATTGTGGTTTACAAATTGCAAGGTATCAAGGTCGACGTTCAATCACATTTCTTGATAGATTCGCATAGCTTCTATAATGATGTCCGCCTTTAACTGTACAATTAACTTCCCTGCCTTATTACCACTATCTACTATTTTCCAACTCTTATAGTTAAAACAAATAGTCACAATCACATGGAAAAAACCGTGACACCCAAATTTATTTCTACATGCTGACCTCGACAAGGGTAATAATTTGAATATGCCATATATTTCACAGGTCATTGTTTTAAATTTCATACCGCTGAAGCAGCTCCCGAGTGTTTCGGTGAAGATAAAAAAATTATCAGCTGAAATATAATCTAAAGTAAACGGCGACTGTCCTCTTTATTCCTTCCACTGCGTTGTCTGCATGTGAGGTTTGGGAGCCGTTACGTGAAATTAAATTCAAATATAACGCGACTAACGCCGCTCTGTTTAGCGAGAATTCGTTTAGAAAGGGGAAATTGTTGGTCGTGAAATATTTCTGAGTGGGTTATCCTTTATTTTTCGCTCGCCGGAAAGACCCAGCCGAATTATCATAACTTAGGATTTAACCAAGCGAAATCGCAAGGTGTTTCGGAAAGATTTATTATTTTTTTTTGATACCATGTGCAAATCGCTGCATTGAATAAAATAAATCGGTTTTGCCAGAAAAAAGCTTTTCGTTGTTCTTATTTTTGATTTCCAAGCTCATTTCTTATGTCATGTCAATACTACTTAAGTTAACTAATACATCTAGAAATGCTTGAAACTTTACTTTACTATTATTCTGTATTTGATTTACTGAAAGATACACGTGTTTCTGCCTCAGTTATTTTCAGGATGTTATTTGTTGCAGGTAAATTCGACAACACGGGCGTAGCTACTGGCGTGCCGGACGAGGGAATAGGCAAAGTTCATTCTTTGCGACTCAACGTACACAGCGAAAGCGACAATTGGGCGATTCTGAGCGAGGTAAGTCTTATTCATTTTAGATTGAAACGTTAATTGCGTCAGAAAATTAATTAAAAACCAGAGGGAAGAACACTGTTACCGAATTATTACACTCTACTTAAAAGTGTGTTAAATAAAGTATATTAGGTACTGTCCTTAAGGGGGTATATCGGGGTCCAAGGGAAGTGAGGAGCGCAGGGGGAGTCCTATGCTTTTCTTATGGGACTAAAGTCCGCTGCCAATTTGAAAAAATTAAATTTAATTGAAATTATTTGCGATAAACATTATCTATATAGCAAAGAAATCTACTCATATGCACATAGTATACATATTGACTAATTAACAACGATTAAAGATGCGTACGCGTTCAAAAATGTATTGCGTGTAAACTATGTACAATATAATTATTATATATAACAAATATGTCGTATTATCCTCGCGAAGATTTGTATCCTTTAATTAAAATCCGTAAATCATGTGAACTGGTAAAACAACGAGAATTATGTTAATTTAGTTCTAAAGAAATGAAATGACACTCGCGCCCATCTCTCGTCCAAATCGAAGAAAATGTTGGATGCAATTTTGAAGGTTCTGTGATAGAAATTACATTATTACTCACTGTTCGTGTTTTTAATCTCTATTTTAAATTATGGGCAAAAAAAGAGCCGCACCGTCCATTTTCGCCATATAAACCTATTTTAAAATGAACAATTTTCAACAACAATATCTCAAAATCTAGATTAAAAAAAATTTCAAAAAAATATGACGCACAGAGGGAGCACTGGGTAATACGCTATATAAATTTCAAGTACATCTGTGCATTTGAGTAAACCCGATATACCTCCTTAAGTAAATCGGGCACTTATTATTTTCTGTGATATTACGTGAATGAAACTTTGCAGTATAGTCTTGTTTTATCCTTTGCAATACTTTTAACGAAGGGACTTGGACTATTTAATGATGAAATAAAAACTATTGAGAAAACTAAATTATAAAACTTTTCTCTTGTTGGCCAAAATTAAATTCCTAATTTTAACTAACCTAACTATCGAGCTCGATCTGGTAGTCTTTATACTCTCTTAGTTTAATTAGAAACTTTGCAGGAGGGTAGATTTTCTAAGTTAATTTGAAAAGTTCGGAGTGTTTTTCAACTTACATTTGGAATAAGTCGAATTTATAGGTTTCATAACACGTTTTTTTGATAAGCTCGATCGAATAAAGCGACAGAACAGGATGTCGAAGGAAACTAAATTAATGTCACTATTCAAATAATATTTTAACACCGAGTGTACTTGTGTAATATTTAACGTTAATTATGAAGGTTTTAATTACTTCATTATAAGGCCGAAATAAATTTTAGAGGGTACAGATTTTATTAAAAGCTTTCAGTCTTCTTTGATCAAAGAACCAGCCTTTGCAAAGCTAGGGTCTAAGTTTACCTTATAATTTATATTTTCAAGAAAGCCTGCAGGCATGTAATTACTTTTTTTAAGGATAACAAGAGGCAGAAATAACTGATCTAAATAACAGCTGTTTATTCTAGATCTCATTCGATTTCTGAAAAGAAAAGGGAACATAATTGAACTCTTTTGAATAATATATCGTTTTTCCTCTGCAGTTGTTCTGAAAATAATTAAAGTTGACAGGAGTATTCCGTGACTGTTCGGTGTCAGTCGTTATTTATTTTCAGTAACAGATTTCGAAAGATGTATATCGAACCGTCTGTTTTGCAGCAAAGTTAAGATTAAGGACTCTATATTAAATCTGTATCCAGTAACAGCTGGAAATTTACGGAATACAATCGTTGGAATGAAAATGTTTGAACTTTTAAGCAGCTGTATCACTGCTCTCCGAATAAATCACAATGCTACTGAATAGGATAGACCACTATTCTTGTGACGTCACGGTAGTGGTTATATTCAACAGTTACCATTGCTGTGAGGTTGGAATCGATGTTTTGAAATGTGGCGTTGTTAAAAGTCTTAAAAACATGCTTTTTTTGTTGCATGCCAGATCATTAAATATTTTTGGGTGTACATTTTAATAAAATGGAAAAATTTATTTGACGTGTTCAAAATTTCATCTTGACTAAATACATTTCTCAAACTTAGATAACGTTTTCCTCTTTATTTATTTTAAGGAGAAGAAGTGTATGTAATTTTTTACAATAATAATACTTAGTTTTAAATTCAATAATACTTTCAATTTTACAAGAATCATGATTTTATTTCAATTTACAATCCATTTTGTCTGTAGTAGAAGGATACATTTTATATGATTTTTTTCTATAGAAAAGTAGGTTATCATTGTTATAGCGTAGTGACTTCATTATTCAAGCATTTGGGGTTTATTGCATAATCTTATAATTAATACAGCAACAGCTTGGCATGTTAGCTGTACTAGAATACATATTCTGTATAGATATTAGTAATAGATCTAGGTTCCCTATAATCTGGAGATTTGGTAAGATTAACTAGAATGTAAATCACGTATTATCGAGATAGAACCGTCAGTGAGTGTGTATGTTGTGTAATGGTACACATGCAGAGATTATTAAGTTTATAACGAGGAAACTTTTTAACTATGTTAACAGTAATGTTTCATAACTTCGTCTGGTTTATGCTAATAATATAAAATTGTCTTTGTGTCTTGAAACAGCCACTTAAAACACGAATTTCATACAGAAAAATAAATGTAGTATGTAGGTAATAGACCAAAATACGTTTTTTATGAACATTTAAAATGTTACAAAGACCGAAATAACATTTACTAAGTAACCAGTTTGACTATTATTTAATTCCACAAGTTCCGCATGCTCTCAGAAAATGAGTGTAAGATGAAGCTTCGTAATCATTAAAACTAAACAGTTAAGTGTGCTCACAGGACGGGATTTTTGCTTACATACACTTGATTTTGATAAATAGGTTTTAAATTGTGAAAGGCCCGAACCCCTTTTCTATTTATGGAATGGACGACGAAATCCTTGTATAGAAATGGAATAACCTGACCATATTTTGAGTTATTTCCGTAGAAGCATTGCTTTGTGTGCAGGATTTGGGAAAGAACCTTAGTTGAAAGAACTACTTAATGTAAAAGGGCGGTTTTCAGAGTTTTGTGAGGGAGATAACCCAGTAGAATATCACTTTTAACGAACGAAATGATGCTTACTTGAAAGGGAATATAATATTTTCTGTAGTAAAATGCATAAATGTTTATTAAATTCATTGTAACTTTATGCAGCCACTGGTAGTTCCAATATTGAACCAAGATTAAATTATAAATGAGTTACCATTTCAATTTTGCAGTGTCTGGTATCACAATCCGGATTGGTTTCATTAATTGCGGCCATACAATTTGCTTTGCAAACCTCAAACGCTGCAGTGCCTTTGATTGAACATTTAAAATACAGAAAATGTGAATGGATATACCCTTGACTAATATATGTACGCCAGAAGAAGAAATCCCAAATTGTTTTTATATTATTATAATAACGATAATAAAATAGATATACAATAACCCTCCCCTTCTTTCTAAGGCGGCGTTGCCATTCTTCAAAATTTCCCTAATTCTGGGAAAGTAAATTTGTGACTTGAAATTTTGAGATCTTTTTATAAAAAGGTATTAAAATAACTACTAAAAGTGATTATAGTTTTGTTTATATTACAAAAACCCTGTCAACAGTGACACAAACATCAACTAAAGCGTTGTTCCCTTCAGGCGGTGTTGCCATGTTTTTGAAAATTTCCCTAAATCTGGGGAAAATTTGTAAATTGTGAACTATTGAGATCTTAATATCCCCGTCTACCAATGACATCAACATGAACTAGGTTGTCTCTCCGGGATGGTGTAATTACATTTTATAAATAGGTTTTGTTTATGTTACTAAAACTCTACCGACTGGTTATACATCAATTAGAGGTGTTGCCACATTTTTCAAAATTTCCCTAGATCTGGGGAGAAGAAAAATTGCGAACTTTTGCGATCTTTTCATAAATATCCCCTTCGACCAGTAATATTAACATTACTAATGGAACTTTGTCTTCCCGCAGATACACATCCAGGATGAAGTGGTCAGCAGGTGACCAACGACGGGCGGCCGAGCCAACCAAGCAACCCAGCTCTACCCGCACGTCAGGCATGTGCTCGACCGCTCATCTTCGCATCCTCTGTGATATACGAAGCCCCACGACATCCCGCGACGTCACATAACGGACGTTCGCCGAAAGCGGAACGAAGTGATTCGAGAGGCGTCTTGTACCATTTAGGCAGTTTCGGGCTGGTTTCGGAAACCGCGACGTCGCTTGCCCCACGCGACTTAAAGTCACACATCGGAAGGATTTGCTCGATAAAAATGATGTCGTTACCATTTTTGATACCATTTCAACGATTAACCGACACAAATGTTTAGAAGGAATTAAGATTCCAATGCACTAACGGTAATAAAATACAACGTACTAAATAAGAGAACAAGTACTGACTGATGACTAAAGATCTAGTTTCTTACATCTAAGATTAAAGGAATAACGCGATTGACTTGACTATACTGTGAAGTGGACATTGTTTTGCGTCGGATTATGAACAACGATAATAATCTACGTTTCGTTTTCTGTGAGCTGTCGTCAGTTTCGTTGCTTCAGTATATTTTTTAAACATCAAATCACATGGTCGATATACCCAATTCTTCTAGGGTCTAAAGCTTTTTGGATCAAATTTGAAAGTTTCTAAATGTTGATGTAACATGTAACAGCATGATGCAACTTGGAACAACAGAATTGTGTGACCTACTCTATTTTTTTTGTTCATGCTTAGGCGATGTTGTGGAAGAACAAAACTGTTATTATTTATATTATTTTGGGCACTTTGAACTGATTAGAAGGTCGGGGTAATAAACCATTTTGATGATGCATGTATTGGGGTCTTGGAAATTGTAAGAGATGGAAAAACAAATGGAGATGGACTATTTTGTTGCACACTTAACGACGGCGTTGTCCTGCTCTAACTGCATATGTTTTAGAGAAGACTTACAATTTTGTTGATGTGACTGAAACCAGTGACATCAACGTGAACTAGGAACATATTTTTCAGAATGTCTCAAATCTGGAGTTTGGCACCTTTTAATATCCACCAAATTGAAATTCTTTGCTAATAGTTGCCTTGATCAAGTTTTCAGATTCTAAAAATTCTTTGTTTCCAAAAAAATCTTGTGACGTTTTTGAGATCACAATACATGCATCACCGAAATTGTCCGCCATTTTTAATTCGGAGTGTACAAAAGCCTGGAAATCTCAGAAAATCTGAAACTATCAGGGAATTTCTTTAGCAGTCATGGAACTTTTATGGACATGGAAAGAAATGGTCAAATATTTTTTTCGTCTGAATACCAAATTTGAACCTCAAGGATTGCTTCTTTGGGAGAAAATATACTGATTTGGATCAAGTTAAAGTATTACAATCTTGCTTCTTTGCATAGTTACATACCGCCTTCAGAAAAAAAATATTTTATTTTTTGAAGAGTTGGTAAAAATATGAGTATAATATTCCCAATCGGAAGCTAAGAACAAAGTAATTAATTTTTTATATTTCCCTATATTATAAAACATTTACGTTTTCTGAAAATACCTACCAACAAAAGAAACATGGCAGACAACAAAAGGTGTTCCTAGTGACTTATATGGTTTAAATAAAAAAAAAATAGCTCGTCTTCGTATTCGACCACACCTAAAACATCTTCTGACCAAATTTCATTCAAATATTTTGAAGGTAACGAAAGAAACAAACAATTTGTACCACTCTTGAAGTTTTGCTTCCGGACACCTTATACAGGATGTTTGTAAATAAGTGCCAAATATTTGAAGGGGTTATTTTGTGAAAAAAAGTTCATATAAACGTAGATCGAAATATGCTTCATTCCCGAGATACAGAGTGTTTAAATTTTAATTTTTTACTTATTTTTATTAATTATTTCAAAGGATTTTAAAGATATTGACTCGGAATTCGATGGCTGTATTTTATTTAGAAATATCGACAGCAGCCTACTAGATAATGTAGCAATACAAATTAAAAATACACAACTTCCAATAAAATATATTTTATTTATAAATATAAAGTGACCAATTTCATTCAGAATTGACTGGCGGATGATTAAAAAATATTAAAAGGGCAAAAAGTCAGTAGCGTACTATTTTTTCTAATCAAAAAAGGTGCAAGTAGAAATATTCGGATCACCTCAAAAAATTTAGATTCATGACTCCAAAACGTCAGTACCTTTAAAATTCTTTTGAAATAATAAAAATAAATAACAAATTAAAATTTAAACACTCTGTATCTCCGAAATGAAGCATATTTCGACCTACGTGTATATAAACTTTTTTCACAAAATAACTTCAGCAACCACCCCCAAAATTATTTCGCACTTATTTACAAACACCCCGTATTAAATAATTTTAACATTTCTTTCTTGCTGATGGCAACGACGAACCAATGAGCACACGGCATCTATTAATTGAAACGACTTGTTTTCAAACCATTTTAATGCTTGTAGATTAAACATACAGGGTCGGAAAGTACCGATGGTCCATCTGCCGTTACGTGAGAGCGATAAAGTAAGTCACAGAAATCCGTGCGATAGAGAAAGATGGCTATAATGAAGGCGTCTAATAGTCACCGCCCATTTCGCCCTTCCACAAATAAGAAGTTGATCTTATTTGTAGAAGGGTGACACGGGCGGTGACTATGAGACGCCTTCATTATAGCCATCCTTCTCCATCGCATGGATTTCTATGTCTTACTTTATCGCTCTCACGTAACGACAGATGGACCATCGGTACTTTCCGAACCTGTATAGCAAATATTTTGTACATGTATATTTTTCAGTAACAACTAGCCTTATCTTACAGATACAATCTTTTCAAGTTGCAGAATCACAACCCTCCCCCCCCCCTTTACATTCACTACTGCTATTTACAGTGATTGATGGTGTCTAGAAATATCACTTTCGCTTTTTGCTGTAATTTAAAATTGATATACACATAAATAATTGTGTATTAACAAAAGTTCCATATAACAATTCTAAAATTTAAAATATGTCTGAAAATTGCTTGTAACTAATGTAAAATGGGTAAAAGCTCCGGGAAAAGATTTGTATAAATGATTTGTGAATGGACAAAAGTATCTTGTATTTATTTAACGTGATTCATTAAGTATGAATAAGTGTGTTTGAACCCAGTCAATTTTCGTTAAGTTCCTTATATTTTAAGAGTATATTACGAAAATTTTTATATTTATATATTTTATTGTAAATGTATGTACTGTAAATGTTGTAAATATAAGAAATAATAGGTGATAATTATGTTTTCTAATTAATATGGAAAGTAATTTGTAAGCGAATAGCTTTTTTGTTACGGTGTGTTACAAAGCGAATACTACGAATATCCTTATTATCCTGCTGTACGGGAATAGCGTTATCTTCGGAAAACTTGAAAAATTTGGTTGAAACTAAACTTTTGTTGAAAGAATCAATAAATCTGCATTTATTAAATATTGTAACAAATTTTTAACCTAGCTGAATTTTGGTTGTTCCTTTCCAAGAATGAAAAGAACTACCACATTTCTTCATGAACAAATATAGCATAAACTACGAGAACTACTATGATTATGTTGCAGTCAAAGTAAACTGCAAATTTTTACATACTTTTGTAAGTTTCGAGGGACCACAAACATATTTCACTGGAGTAACTATTGAAATGTATAAGGCGTTGTCACAATCTCAAAACAAGAAGGGATTGTTTTTCTTTCAAAGATAAAGTAGGTAGTAATGCTGCTGATTCGTTTGAAACAGTCGAGTTCCTACTTAAATTTTTGAACGGAGATCCAGACTTCCCCATTTTAGATAAGTACCTTAAGATAGCTACCACTATGATGTTAATCTTTAGCTTTTGCGCTTCGAAGGACAATATTTTTTGCATATTCTATTGTTGACTAAAGGGGACTCGATCGACTGATCTATGAGAAATAAAGGAATTGGTGTTTAGCAGCCATCCACAGTATTAGAATGACTAAGAATAAATGTTAAAAATAAATACAAGTAAAATAAATGTTTAAAACGCGTTACATTTTCAAAGGAATAATTTAAAAAAAGGTCGCTGTGTTAACATCTATTTTTTTTGTCACGGCGTCTTGATTTGATGGTGGGATATTACAGAAGACACTGTATATACATAATGTTTTCGAAAGTGGTGTTTTAATTTTAGGTAATTATTTATACGTGAATGAAAATAAGGAAGGTATTTTGCAATACCTAACTACCTTAAATGCTCGTGTAAATATTTTTTTATACAGTTGAGGAAATGTTCAAAATTTTCCCCGTTTTCCTGAAGATTTCCATGTTAATAATATTCGTTGCTGGTGAATTACTTCCTGATGGTAATGTGATGGAGCATAATCAAGCAGAATCCACATGCTATGTCGAATTTATATCCTTCTTCGGAAAGACAGCCAAATAAATATGTAGAAAATGCATATAGTGGGCATTAGTTAATCTATGTGGTAGAACGAAAGTTCAGTCAGAGTACCATTAACAAAGCCTGCCCACAATTGAAAATTTTTGTTAGAAATTCGTTCTTCGAACCTTCATGTGGCTTTTAGAGCTTGCCAGAGACCGTCAAGACCTTAATAAATCGACTATGAGGCAACCATTACATCATCCAAATAAACTTGCTTTTTATTATCTTCCAAATCACCCAAAGCTTTAGTAGCTAGTGCATTTTTAAAACCAAAAGGTATGCGGATGTATTCGCAGTAACCGTGAGCTATTGCAAATGCTTTCTATTTTCGTGGTTTTTTCCTTTTCCATTGGATGGTACCTCGTTCTCATTAATTTGTACTAATAACCACGCACAAAAACGAAACTTATGCGGATGGTCTTCTGGTAGCAATGCTTGTACGCGATGAATGTGTATACAGTTGGTTTTCATGCTTCAAATTGTAATTTGGAACGCATTAACCTCATAAGATACTTACATGTTGTCAGTTGCTAGTAATTATTGGACAATGTTAAGAAAATTTTTCCGTTGTTAAAATACTAACAATAATTTCCAGGTCAGGCTTAGATTAAGATCAACCCACCAAAAACTCAAATCAGTACTTAAAATAGAAACGATTATTAAAATATCAGAGAGCGAGGAAGTTAGGAATGACAGCAAGCACTGATTGATTTCCGCGCGGTAATGCCAATGTTAATATCCTCCAAATTTTTGAATATTGCATTTCTTTGGCATCAACTAAAACCCCTTAAAATTAAAACTTCACTTTCTAAAACTACACTTTATTTTAGTATACAATGTGGACCATTTTGGTGATGCATGTATTGGTAAAAACAACGCCAAAAATCAATATTTTATTATTTATTATAAAACTGGCAACGTTGCATATTTTTTCGAAACTATTATAGAATAGTCTCAAATTTTTGTAAATGCTTATCATTACTTATATCATATCATTGAAAAGCCGAAAAAATAGGCAAATAGCTCAGATTAAGCTTCAATATGGCGCCCAACAGAAAAGGAGAAAGTTGATGACTCACGCAACCGAAACGTCGCAATGAAGATTTAAATATACAGTGAAATTCCTCGAAGAAACTTACTGTGAAAATGTGTTTTCAGATTCAAGTTTCCTCCAAATAAAAAAGCTACAGGCGATTTTTGAAAACGCCACATTTACTTTTATTCAAAATAACTCAAAAACCTTGAAGAGCTAGGATCGGTCTGCAAGAGCCATTAAGTTAGAAACAGAACCGCTTAAAACTTTTCCCATTTAACAACTTTCCTGTCTCTTATACATAGTTCCAAGATACCATCACCAAAATGGTCCACAAAAAAAAATTCCGATGAAAAAATATTGGTTATTTAAAGTACCTTTATTGTTTTGATTTAAATATGAATTATACCACAACCACTGGAATTGATTAGGAAAAATGTGCTTTATACAGGGTGATTCACAAATGATGACCAAAAACGAAACCTCTTATTCTTTGGTGGATATTTTTTGAAATTTAACACCCTGTATCTTTTTAACAAAGCGTCCTAGATAAAAACTTTATAGGCTTCATTTTTGGTCACCATTTATGAATCACCCTGATAGAATAATTTCATAAGTACCTACCTTAAAAAGATGTTAAACACACCGATGACTTTTTTCTTTAATATTTATATTTTACTCGAAATAATTTAGTTTTTGACTATAAAATACTATAAATTAATCTCCAGTTGACCTACCTACCTAACTTGCCTGTCTAGGTGTTAAAAATATTAAACTAAAATAAACTACCACAACTTGGTGTTAAAATTTATCATCTAAATGTAAATCTAGATTAATCTGTATCTAATATGTGGTATATGGAATTGACTTTTATATATTTTCCGTTTGATTCTGGATTTCATACGATTTTGACTTTGTACATAATATATTTTAGGGTACTGCCGTACTAACGATTTTTATATATTAGTAAGAACTTATACCTAGTAAGATATTTTTATTTGTTACTGTTAATAACTGATTTCCACATTTTATTTAATTTTGATGCGTGTGTATAATAATAAACGATAGAGTAAATGTATTTATTTATTATAAATTTGTATAAACTGAAAAATATAACTTCACTGAAATACACTGTTGTATTATTCTGCTACTCGTTCAATCTATGCTTTGTTTTCTTTAAATATAACATTCCTTTGAGTCGTCAAATGAAGAAACACAGGAGATTTTTTTTAAGTTGGAGTTCTTTTCTTTTCCTAACAGTATACTTTCCAAGCCCTGAAGACTTTTCCTCATTCAGTGAGCCTGAACTACTGGAAAGCTACACGAAGTCAATGAAAGATACTTCGAACTAGCTCAACTAAACCGGATATAATATATTGAGAAAGGAATTCTCAACATTGCCGAAGAACAGTAAATTTTGAAAGACTCGATACGAAAACCAACTGAATCTATATCACACAGACTTTATAATAGCCATACGTGGTCGAAGTTGAAGAGACTTCACGAAAATACTCGGTGCTAGTAATCTTTTGGCCACTATGAATATAACTGCATGCCATTTGGTTTAAAAAATGCGCCCGCTAATAAATCCTAAGTCAATCTGGAGGACAATAAGTTTATTTTAATGATGTACTGGTTGCCGTAGACTTGACCGATGAAGGATGAAGGATGTGATAAGCTCCAGTAAGTTCCAAAGGTTTTGATAAAAGCAGATTTCCTTCAATTTTGATAAGTGCACCTTTTTTACTACTAAAACTGGATACTACAGAACAGTAGTCGGAGATGATAGACTCAAGTAGTCTCATAACTCAAGCAAGGAATAAATTCAGTTATTAAATTATTTCAACAGTACACTTTATATACAGGGCGGGCCAAAAGTACCAGAATCACAGGATATCTGGGAATATTCAAGGGGTAGGGTAAATGTAAAGCACTAAGACTTTATGATTTTTCCCTGGCTATCTGATGATGACTTGACCTTGACCTTCAGGGTTACATCAAGGTCAAGAGAATTTTTTTAAATGCGACCCCTGAAATGGAAAGAGCGGAAAATTTTACTTTCGGATATGACCTTGAAGTGACCATGAAGGTGAAGATCAAGGTCAAATTTCAAAGATAATGGAAGGTCATTGTTGGTCAATGGTGGTCACCGATGTCACGTGATGAAAATTTTAAGAAACTTTAGAACACATTCGTACTAGCAACGTATGTAATTATAATTACAGAAAAGTAAAAGTACAAGAACTGATGATAAAAATTGAATAAATAAAAAAAAAACTGTCATTAAGCGTCATAATTTTTGCCACTAAAATCTAGTGAAGTAGAAGTGAGGTAGTTCAGACTTTTAGGTTCGCCAAATTGGATATATGACTGTGAGATTAACATTATACTTCTTCAATCCAAATAAATAAATTACAAACCTATACTGCCATTTGATAATTACTATCAGTTTTCATCAAAAATCACCTCACGATCTGGGAACAATCTTGGCCTTAAAGGGCCTGGGACCAGGAGTGACACCGTCCCTGAAATCTTCCGTTGGCCGTTGATCGGGCAAGACACTAAACGTGAATTTTTGCAACAGCGTAGCCACGAACAAAAACAGGTTTGCCCTTGCCAAGGTTTCTCCAAGACATCTGTGCTTGCCGAAACCAAACGGCATGAAGCTGTCTGGAGTGACGATTTTACCGTTCTTCATGTATCTTTCCGGCATGAATTCCATTGGTTTTTCGTACTCACTGTTCGATGAGAGCATGGAACCGTGCAAATTGGCTATGACCAGAACGTCCTGGAACAAATACGCGAGGAATTTAATATTTGGATGGATGAAGAAACGTGACTGCCAAAACAATATTAAATAGATATCTCTATTGACCGTATTAGATAGAGGTTCAAATGATTATTAATATCTAACACAGATCGTTATAATTTGAGATCTTCTACATAAAGAGTGGTTTGGTAATTTAGATTTAATAATGTCATTTATAAAAATTAGAAATAATAGTGGTCCAAGGACCGATCCTTGTGGGATACCAGAAGTTGCATTGCAATCTATTGATTGGAAGCTACTATACTCAATTGTCTACACTCTATGCAACAAATGTGATCAAGAAATCAAGAATTAAATTAGTTAAACGTATAATTGACAGTTTTGGGAGCATAATACTATTTGATCCAAAGCTCTAGAGACATTTGTACAAATGAGATCTTACTTTTCTGTACAGAACCTAATGGTTTAGCAAATACTGTTGCACAGTCTTTGAAGAGAATTTCCGGCAGTGGATGACTCTACATAAGTTCAGATTCATATTAAAATTAAGATGTATAAACCATGAGGACCTACCTTTGGTATTCGGTACCCACAAAGTTCAGTGTCCCTAAGTGCCCTATGTGGAACTGTGAAAGCACGACCTCCAAACATGCGTAAGGCTTCCAGTACTACGCATTCCACATAAGGAAGGCTAAAAGGATAAACAGTTTCGGTCTTAAATCATATACGTGCGAAAACCATTGAAATGTGTCAATAATTTTTGATAAAAAATTACAATGTACAAAAAAAAGGTTACTTTCCGAAAGAAATTCTGCAAGGATCCTATTTAGAGTTATGTTTGTTTAAATGTTTATGTTTTTCTGAAAACAGTGACGAATGACGTGGCAACCGAGGTGTAAATTGTTCAATTAAACAGGAAAGTAGTTATGAGTTTGCAGCTACTTACTTGGGTCTATCATTCATACTTGGAGAGCAATGCTTTCCAATAACTGAGTCGATCTCTTCCTGGGCCTTCCTCTGGACATCCGGATACAAAATTAAGTAGAGGAAGCAGAACCCTAGCGTGTTCGTCGTGGTTTCTGAACCAGCCATGAACATATCCAGACATAGAGCCATTAACTGTTGCTCACTGAAACTGTTCGGGATATCTTCTGATGAGTTTAACACGTTGAGGTAAACGTCCATAAAGTCTCTAGGCTCTTTCGGATCGCGCGTTTTCTTGTGGTAGTTCAATTCACGATTCAAGAAGTCCCAAATACGCATGTGAGCTCTTATGTAGAAATTGTACCCCGATAGCTCTGGAGCTATGTATTTAAGTATTGGGAAATGACTGAAAGAAGCGCCCACCATGGATACTCTTTCGAAGAGTTCGCTTAGGATTGCCTGAAGTTCCTTCATTTTGTCGTCCTCGTGCTTGTACCGCACCCCCGCTAACATACGCCAGAGTGTGTTCAAGACGTGTACATTGAACAAAGTTGTCATTTCAAATATTAATGAATCCTTGTCGTGTATAGTTCTAAGGATATAATTCACTAGTTCCTGGGTCTCTTCCTCGATCAGGGTCGACATATTTCGTCTTCCGAACCCGAATTCTCTGAGTTGTCTTATCGAGAATCTTCTTTGCTCGTACCAGAAGCTCTGGTCCACTAAGAGTATTCCTGGAAGAGTATGTTTAGTTATTAAAAATCGATATCTAAAAAAAATATTACCTCTGCGTTTTCCCCACGTTCTCAGTTCATAAAACTCTCCAAATGGTCTACCAGCAAGGTCATCAGACGTTAAAAACTCCTTAACAGCGTGAGGACCGTACACGACCACTAATTTGTGCTTCCCCACTTTTAAACCTAAAACTGGCCCGTATTTGGCAGACAGTTCTGCTGTGGCTAGTATGAAGCTCTTGGTTTTCTTTTTAAGTCGGTTTGTTTCTAACGCACAGCCGACTAGTGGCCTCCATTTTGGACCTGGAGGGAATTTTTTGGGTTTCCTCGTGTCCAAGTACACTAATAAACCCAATATTCCAATGAAGAGTATAACTGCTAGCCACATATCTATAAAACACTATTTTTATTGGGTGATATTGAAAAGTGGACTCTTTCTAGTAAGGTTAGTATTATTTTTAGTACGTTATTTTATTTGAGTGGTAAAAATACATTCTAAAGTGGGACACGCTGTATCATACTCGACTGCAAATTAAACCAAATTTAAATTGCACATATGTACATATACAAATAATTATTATATAACTGCTGTGGAGAAAGTGTTGCGTGGAAAAATATACCCGTCTCTATTTTCCGTGTGTTTGCAAGTCTGGATTACCCGATTTGTACATAAACTTCCGGAGAAGAGAAAGTCGCGTTCAGTAATGTCGGCCTTATGCAACAACTGATTTTGGATGTGACAGTGTCTGCTTATTTGCAGTACCTACTAAATACAAAATTACATCACTGGTTTTCTGTACCAGAGGAGCCAAATAATTATAAAAATATCACTGACAAGCAAAGTACCTACCTATTTATTTTTATTCTACATTAGGTATTTCATTTACAATGTATTGTAAATAGTGTATTTTTTGTACTTTTATATTTTTACAGAAAAATATTGAGATTATACTTTAAGATTTAGTTTGTCGGTACACATTTTTTTTGTATTTCTAATTACTGTTATGCAATTGAAAAAAATAAAATATCTGGTCTTGAACAACTACCTACTTGATTTTATATGTAACTACATGCCTTCATGATGTTGCAGAAGTTTGAAAATCAAGTCAAGCCCAACTATGTTATTTGGTATTTTTTTCACTTTATTTTTCCACACAGTAAATGACTTTGAATTGGCTTTTGAAAATTTAGTGCAAGTACATTTTAATTTCAATTTTTCAAAACTTTTGTTAAATTTCCACTTTATACAAGGTGTTAACGAGATAAGTACTCAAAATTGGAGGGCATTAATTTTGTTATTTAACATACAAATTTGTTGTACTGAATGCTTTCATGCTTTCTTTCTTCAAATAACAATTAATTCAACAATAATTGGCCCATAATTTATTTATTTTTGTCTAAATTTGTCTATTATTATTAAATACAGAAAATAACTTGGAAAACGTACTTAAAAAGTAAATTTCTATGCTAAATTAATTTTTATAATAATATGTTATCAATAAATACTGAAAAATAAGTTAACTGACTGTTTTTTTTTTAAGAAGAACCGTAGGTAATCCTCTACGACTTTCTTACCTCCCAGAAGCTCCACCAATTACTGAAGATGGTCTAGATACACTAAATTAACAATAACTTCACAGTCATCACAGTCACCCAACGACACGCGAAAAAATACAGCACATTTATTATAATATAAAGAAATGATCACCTGTACAACCCAGACCCTTCCAAACCACACTTTGCTCTCTCTTTAATTCTATTTCCTCATATAGCTTTCCCCCCACTGAGACAATATAAATAATACTCAGAATTTTGACTTTGAGTAAGTATTTTAACAAATTTTATAGACTGGACCTTAGGTATTAAACAAAAGGAGTGTATTGAAATAGTTTTTTTTACATTTAGGTGTAGGTAATTTTATTTTTAATTTCTGGAATGAAGTAAATTAATGTATAACTAATGCAATTCCAACGACTGACATTCATCCTAGGGTTTTAAAATATACACTTAACCTGTTAATATACAGGGTGTCCCCCGAGGATGCTCACACACTTTGGAATAACATCACTTAGATATAAATTATGATGTTTATAAAATTCGGAATTAGAAACGCTCAGTTTTTAAAAATATTTTGAAAAAAACCTAATTTAATATTTGAAGAAAGTGCAAATGTGTAGAGTTAGTTTTCGTTTCATTTGCGCATTTTTTAAAAAACAGGTTCACAAAAAAATCCATTTGTAAAACTTACGTATTTTAGAATTTGGAGTTGATTCCATAATAATGATTGCCTTTTTTTTTACAGCCAAAAAGGTTGAGTTTCTTTAAGAAGTAGTGCGGGAAACTTTTTGAAAATCAAAGCAAACCTAAGCTAAGAGAACAAAATTAAAATATTAACCGTATTTTACTCAATCCCCACCCATTTGAAAATTTACATTCTTTGATTTGAAGGCTATGATTTTTTTAAATGGTTATACATATATAAAATGTAGATGTAAGTAAATGTTAATCAATTGAGAAATATTCATTTACCAGTATCTTTAAAGTTTTATTAGAGCAAGATCTTTACTTTATTCTAATTTTGTTACCAGATTTCGCAAAAACCAATGCGTTTTGTTATTGATTTTACATAATTTTAAAATATTTTTGAAAGGTCGCCAGTACATTAAGTAGGTTCGAGTATTTTTGCTTGAAAAATCAAAAGTTTTTTAAGCAAAAGATATAATATATATTTAATGTATTCTTTTCTATTGTAGTTTTTATTTTCTATCAAATGCACAGGGAGTCCTAGAAAAGTTGGAACACTGCTAGAGCACAGTCATCTTGCAATTTTATTTTTGAAAATTAAAAAAAAATAAATTAAATTAAACTTACCATTTATTCTTCAGATAAACCATCATTTCGCCAGCACCAAAGCAATTCCTATATTTTCTATATTTTTTGTATAGCTTCCGTGTATAAGAAAATACAAAAAAATTAAGTAAATCGTTTTGTTTTCACTTTAAGAGAACCCGATTGTACAACCTATCCATGCGCACTAGGGTGGCCCAAAAAAACGAATATATTTTTTTTCGTCTCTTGTGAAAATATGTTTATCATGTTTTAAGAGCCCTCTCAAAAAATCAGCTGAAAAACAATTTTTTTAGAGGTCGCTCAAGATTTTTAAAAATTTTAAACTGATTTTTTTTCTCGTTATTTTATCATTTTCTAGGTTGAAAAAAAACTCGATTCTGAAAATTTCAAATCGATATTTTAATTTCTAAGGGTCACTCATAATTATTTTAACTTTAAAAGTAGTGTAAATAAAATGTTTTCGAGCGATAAATGTCAACGAACTAATAATTTTTTTTATTGAATTTGATGAACAAAAGAATAGAAATAAATCACGAAACACTTACAAAATTTCTCGAGGCAAAATTTACTAGCGCACATCAAATATTTATAATTTTTAAATTTTTTAAAATTTAAGCTTCTCGTGATTTATTTCTATTCCTTTGCTCATCAAATTCAATAAAAAAAATATTAGTTCGTTGATATTTATTTTTTAGAGGTCGCTCGAAAACATTTAGGTATACTACTTTTAAAGTTAAAATAATTATGAGTGACCCTTAGAAATTAAAATATCGATTTGAAATTTTCAGAATCGAGATTTTATCAACCTAGAAAATGATAAAATAACGAAAAAAATTAAAAAAAATCAATTTTTGACGATTTTGGAAATTGTTAAAAATCTTGAGCGACCTCTAATAAAAATTTTTGAGCTGAATTTTTGAGGGGGCTCTTAAAACTTGATAAACTAACATATTTTCACAAGAGACACGAAAAAAAATATTCGTTTTTTTTTGGGCCACCCTACTGCACACGCATAATAAAATGATTAAACTTTTCAACTCCTGTAATTGCCAAAATATTGAATTTTCGCTCCGATCTTCAAATAGAATAGTCACTGTCGTACGACAACGATACAAAGAAACATTTTTGGAACCGCTGACATTATCGATAGCTCGGCTGGCTCTGTTTACAAGAATTTAGACACGTTGCTGTACATAAAAATGTGCAGATAACTCAAAGTTTTCATCAACGGCTACATATTTTACCACCGTGTCAATTAATTAATTAATTAATTAATACCCCTTTTTAGTGTACATCTAGTGTACATTAATTAATATATCATGATAGTACATCCCAGACAAGCGGTCTTTCCAGAAAAAAAAAATAGAATTAAAAGCAAGAATCCAAAGAAATTAATGACTTCTTTTACGGCCGGTTTGTCAAAAAGTGGTTTCTAAATCAAGGTTGGTTGAAGTTATGAGAAATATGATTGATTGTTGCTGTTTTGTTAAATCAAGTATCTCTTGATAAACCGACCTTTAAACATGTATTCATAGCCTAAAATCGAACCATCAATTTTTCTGTTCATCACAAAAAAACGGACGGGCACAACTATTCACCTCTTTTTATGCAGTATGTATGTCGTGAACGACTCCAGTGGTCCTCAATAAGTTTTAATTTTGAGTTTTAAACGTCGTTTTGCAAACTTTACATGTGAAATATAAACAGCAGAACGGTGAACTTTTCAAGACAAATAAAAAATGGCTTCTGTTTGAGGTGTACTGAGAGAGAAAGCCAGTCTTTTTTGGAAAGCTCGGAAACAATAGGGACAAAGACTAACACGCGTATCAGTTGTCAATTGCAATTGGCAGCAAGGTAAGTTCATGTTATTTTATTTATAAACTTTTTTCAATACCTACTTTCCTAGCTTTTTAACTGATGATGTTGTAGGAAACAACTACTCTGCGGACTACGGCCCCGTCCAGCATAAGTAGATAGCTCTTTGCTAGTAGGTATTGATTGGCAGTAACGATTAAGATACAACGTATTTTATTGGTTATATCTCACCCACACATCCCAATCACCTAAAAATTCCGTGTGAAGTATGGTTTGATTTTTAATTTTTGTCCCGAATATTTTATTTACGATACTGGATAATTTTTAAAATATTCTTGACCTGGATATTTAGTGAAAATTTTTCCTAAAAGTTATTGGAGGTTTTTTATTGGACCACCTAGTATACTTACCTAAAAATATTTATTAATAAAATTATTACTTACCATAATTTTCGGTTTAACACTTAAAAAAATAATAAACGTAAACATTTTATTTACATGAAGGCAAAAATTTGAACCAACCGAAATAGTATTTATTTATAGGGCAACCTAGCAACCTTTTACATAAATTAAACAATGTATTGATTAACTAATAACTAAATAAATAATAGATAGCTTTTATAACACGACAACTTAAAAATATTAAATTCTCTATTTCTTATGCAGTTTAGAGGCTTATTCAAAGTCAATTTTTCTCTTTTTGGCAGCCTTTGTTGGCTGTTTAAAGACCCCTGCAGTTATTTCATCCATTATTTCTTCAAAGGATTTTCCCTAAAACCAGTGACAGATTGACGAATACTTTTTTTATATTGGGCGTCCAAAAACCAACCAGTCAAAAATTAAATCGTAATTTTAAGACTTTTTAAGGCCTTGAAATATGGCCCGTTCGTTTTCGAACACCCAGTATACTAATAGTTTTTTATATAAAAAAAAGTAACTATGTTGAAATATTTCAAACTATAAGATGCAGAAAATATATTTTGATAAAGAAATGAGTGTTAAATTTTACACCGACAGCACTCGGAGTGATTCCTATTTACCTACACTCATGAGTGTCACAAACACTTGCCCAAAAGCGAATCAAAGTAAAACACTTTTAAGAATAAACTCACCGATTAGTTGCCACTATATCAGGTGTTAGTGCTATTTGGGTGCTATAGCACGTCAAAATTCGTTTGCAGTGGGAATTAAAACTAATCCAACGAGATATGTATACACTGCAAACTAGTGCAGACAGTATTAATGAATTATTCGTTAAAATTACATTACAGTGTAAAATTTTACACCTCATTCTTTTACCGAATTGGAAACTATTCGACTTTTTGACTGAAAAGTGTTAAGCTAGTGTTATCAAGCAACGTACCACAATGGTATGTTGAGAAGTACTAGGTTCGCTGCCACTGGACTCGTACGACGACAATCCCTCGAACTGTACCTTTTTAGGGGAAACCGGAAATTTTTTTTGGGACGAGGGGGATTTGAGTATGCTAGGAGGAGTTCGTGAATATTCCCCGTAGTCTACAAATGATCCAAAACAATTACTACCTAAACGGAAAAGTGGTGCCATAGATGAATTGGAAATAGGGCATGTATTTTAGTAAAATATTTTAAAAAATAAGCACAAATCATGTTTCTATGTATAATTAACGAATTCCATTTTTAGATTATAGCTGCGTCACAAGGAAAAGTGTTTAAATGAGAATTGTTACATTTGAAATGAAAGTTATCATTTTACGAGTATGTAAAACAGTTGATAATGTTATTTGAAAGTTTAATAGTTGATATATTTAATTTCTGTTAAAAAATGTGGAATTGTAAACAAAACGTCTGTCTTTTCGCTTTTTTAAACAGGGAATGAAATAAATCCAATTTAACATTTTATATTCGGAATCTCTGAATGAAAAGTATAGGATATTTTTTAATATTTATTAGTTATCTCCAAATTAAACGTTAAATTTTACATAACACTCAAAGTTGTTGAAATCATTTTTCTAGAATTAAACAAGTGCATTTCAAATTTTGCAGCTACAAGAAATTATAACTGATTTCCGATTGGTTAAAAATCGAATGTTAAATTTTACACCGAAATAACATTCAGAGTGGTTCGAATTTACCCACACTCACGAATGTAATAGGCATTTTGCTCATAAATTAAGCAAATTTATTACAGTTTCTGCTGATACAGTCATTTCTACTTAGTTAAAAATAGAGCGTTAAATTTTACACAGAAGTAACTCTCATAGTGGTTGATTTTCTTCACACTCACGAATGTAATAAGCATTTTATCCACAAATTAAGCAAATTTATTACAGTGTTTGTTGTTAGAAGTAACTATTAGCGATTTCTATTTGTTAAAAATAGTGTTAAATTTTACACTTAAATGACAAGCAGAGTTATTCGAATTTATTCACACTCACGAGCATAATAAGTATTTTGCTGATAAATTAAACAACTTAATTACCGTTTTTGTGGTTACTAGTGATTTCCGGTTAGTTAAAAATCGAGTGTTAAATTTTACACCGAAATAACATTCAGAGTGGTTCGAATTTACCCACACTCACGAGTGTAATAAGCATTTTGTTCATAAATTAAGCAAATTTATTACAGTATGTGCTGTTAAAAGTAACTATTAGCGATTTCTGCTTAGTTAAAAATAGAGTGATAAATTTTACACGGAAATAACAGTCAGAGTGGTTTGAATTTATTCTCACTCACGGGCAAAATAAGTATTTTGCTGAGAAATTAAACAACTTAATTACCGTTTTTGTGGTTACTACTGATTTCCACATAGTTAAAAATTGAGTGTTAAATTTTACACAAAAATAAGAGTAGTTTGAATTTATCCACACTCACGAGTGCAATAAGCAAATTAAACAACTTCACTAAAGTTTTTGCTGTTACAAGTAATTATTAGTGATTTCTGCTTAGATAGAAATTGAGTGTTAAATTTTACATGTAAATGACATTCACAATCAGAGTGGTTTGAATTTATTCACACTCACGAGCATAATAAGTATTTTGGCGATAAATTAAACAACTTAATTCCCGTTTTTGTGGTTACTAATGATTTATGCTTAGTTAAACATTGAGTCTTTATTTTACACAGAAATAAGAGTAGTTTGAATTTATCCACACTCACGAGTGCAATAAGCAAATTAAACAAGTCCACTAAAGTTTTTGCTGTTGCAAGTAATTATTAGTGATTTCTGCTTAGATAGAAATTGAGTGTTAAATTTTACACATAAATAAGAATAGTTTGAATTTATCCACACTCACGAATGCAATAAGCAAATTAAATAACTTCATTAAAGTTTTTGCTGTTGCAAGTAATTATTAGTGATTTCTGCTTAGATAGAAATTGAGTGAGAAATTTTACATGTAAAAGACATTCACAATCAGATTGGTTTGAATTTATTCACACTCACGAGCATAATAAGTATTTTGACGATAAATTAAATAATATAATTCCCGTTTTGTGATTATTAGTGATTTATGCTCAGTTATAAATTGAGTGTTAAATTTTACACAGAAATAACAGTAGTTTGAATTTATCCACACTCACGAGTGTAATAAGCAAATAAAACAATTGCAATAAAGTTTTTGCAGTTACAAGTAATTATTAGTGATTTCTGCTTAAATAAAAATTGAGTGTTAAATACATGGAAATGACATTCAGAGTCAGAGTGGTTTGAATTTATTCACACTCACGAGCATAATAAGTAGTTTGACGATAAAGTAAACGACTTAATTCCCGTTTTTGTGATTACCAGTAATTTATGATTAGTTAAAAATTGAGTGCTAAATTTTACACAGAAAAAAAAGTAGTTTAAATTTATCCACACTCACGAGTGCAATGAGTAAATTAAACAACTCCACTAAAGTTTTTGCTGTTACAAGTAATTATTAGGTAGTGATTTCTGCTTAGATAAAAATTGAGTGTTAAATACATGGAAATGACATTCACAATCAGAGTGGTTTGAATTTATCTTACCTGCACTACTTTCTAGTTCCCGCAGTTCTTTCTGAAGATTATCGCGTATTTCCTGTTTTTCTTTAATTGTCTTCACCTTAGACGACTGAATTTCTTTCATCTTCTTAGACTCTATCTCTGCATCATCATATTGCTTCTTGACGTTCTCATACTTCTCAGTTAGGTAATCAGTGGAAGAGATTAGGTAAGCCTTTTGCTTTTCCATCTCCACTATTCTATTATCAGTAGACAAGCCCTCAATTTTTCGGGATAATTCCTCGATAGCTTTCTGTTTTTTGGCTATTTTTTCGTCCAGTGGCCTAATTTTATCCAACACTACCTCATCAGCTTTCAGTTTTTCCTTCAGTTCCACCTTTAGCAGGAGCTTCTCGTTCTTCTGTTCAATCACTGCTACGTACTGTTTCTTCAAAGTCTCTAGGCCCTGAAATAAAAGTATTTCGAATAACTCGTTTCTTTTTTTTTAAATTGTATTTACGCCATGTAGTTCATCGTTTTCCTTAATCTTCGCTGACAGTTTGTCTTGATTTTCTTTAAGTTTCTCTTCTGTCACCTCAGTATCTCGCTGCCATTTCATGGTCTTTGTTTCAAGGTCTTCGCTCACTTCTTTGAGTGTTGTCATCGATTGTTTCCTCTCCTCATCCAACTGAATGTTACGTTCTTCTTTGGAGACTAAGACCTTAGCGAGTCCGTCGTGTTCTTCGTTTCTTTCTTGGACTTTGTTCTTCAGGACGTCGGCAGTTTTTAATGAGGCACTCAATCTATTGTCAACAGTTGTTTATTTACGTATCTAGATGCATGTATTTTATTTGATTCTTACCTTTTCCTTTTCTCTTCTACCACCAAGTTTAACTTTTCAGCGCACTCCTCCATTTCCCTTTTAACTTGATCCTTCAATACTTTCGTTTGCTGTATTTCCTGACCCAGATTGGTCAACGTTTCTTCTAATTCCTTGCCTCTATTGCGTAACACTGTTACGCGGCCTTTCCTTTCATCGATATGCTGATGCTGCGGTTTCAATTTCTCCAAATGTTTGCGTCTTTCCAACAGTTTGGCTTTCAATTGCAGATTTCTCTTTTTAAGGTCATTTGTACTGCCTCTAATGTCTGCAATACTCGCCTCTTTCCTAGCTATGGCGGCTTTTAGTTTGGAAATTTTCTGCTCCCACTCATTTTCCGTCATACGTCTCTTTTGGTCAGCAGCTTTCTCAGTGAAATGTTGGTTGACGTGTTTCTGGTGTTTGTGGCCATCGATGATCGTCTTCGTGAACCCTTCCAGTTTCTCGATGATCTCTTTATTGTACTGTATCCGCTTCTGCAGTTGCTGCATTTCGTCCTTGTCGATTTCCACTTTGATATTTAGTTCCTCCGTTTCTTTTCCGATGTCGTCTCTCAAATCTTGCAAACTTTTAATTTGTTCTAATATTACGTTATTCTTTTCAGTGGCGACTGCTATAGTGGTCTTCTCGGTTTCCTGCGTTTTGGTAGATTTATCAAGTCAAAATAATGTGAAACCGTAGAAACCCGATAAATGTTTTCCTTACTATTTTTTCGTGTGCAGAATCTGGTGTTCCAAACTCAAAACTTCGAGTTCGATGAAGTTTGTTGAAATTTCGAAATTGCCAGTTCCTGTTTTTTCAAAATTTCAAATACGAAATTTCAAATTCTAGTACGAAATTTCGAATTCGTACATTGGTAGATAAAAAAATTATTCACAATTTCGAATTTGAACTGGAAATTTTTTATTCAAATTTCGAAATTTCGTGTTCAGACTCGAAATTTCGAGTCTGAACACGAAATTTAGAGTTATAACGAAAATTGATGTTTAAATTCGGAATTCAACTTGAAATTTCCAGTTAAATACTCTTTTTTTTGTTTATCAAATATCAAACACGATATTTCGAGTTCTAGCATGCAATTTCGAGTTCTATCACGAAATTACGAGTTCTAGCATGTAATTTCAAATTCTCGCAGTAAAAATTTCGAGCTGTAGCACGAAATTTCGAGTTCTAGCACGATATATCGAGTTCTAGCATGAAATTCCGAGTTCTATCATAAAATTTCGAATTCTAGCACGAAATTTCGAGTTTTAACACGAAATTTCGAGTTCTAGCACAAAATTTCGAATTCTAGCATTAAATTTTGAGCTCTAGCACGAAATTTCGAGTTCTAATAATGAAATTTCGAGTTCTAGCTCCAAATTTCAAATTCAAGTATAAAATTTCGAGTTCTAGTATGAAATTTCGAGTTTTAAAACGAAATTTCAAGTAAAAAATTACTCGAAATTTCGAATTTCATCTCGAATTTTCTAGTTGACCACATTTTGGATTCGAATGCAAAATTTCGAGTTTGAATTCGAAATATGTTTTAAATTTCCAGTTATTTTAATATCTTGAAGCTACACGCTCCAGTCCGGAATTTTGAATTTGGAATCAAAATGTTATAAATATAACGAAATATATGATGTTTCTATGCTGTCTTTGAGTTTCGAAATTTTGAGTTTTCAACTTATTTTAGGTTTATATTTCGATTCACATTTTATTAATTTTCTTTTTGTTTTCCAAATTTCGCATTTAAAGCCGAAATGTTAAATGTTCAAGCATGAATTTCGCATCCAAAACTAAAAAATTAAGACGCTTCTACGCTTTTTTTAAATTCAAAATAATTGGAAATTTTAATTTCGAAAATGAAATTCTGAGTTCAAACTTAAAATTACGAATTTGAACTGTTTAGTTAAATTTCTAGTTTTAAGTTTTAAGTTTCGTAAACATTAAAATTTACTTTAAGCCTAACTATTATTAACTTTTTAAAATCTTGTACTTACTTTTTTAAGAATCACTTCTTTAATTTCATGACGAACCAGTGCATCAACATCTTGATATCTCATCGTGGAAACTTCATCTTCCAAAGTTTGTTCTGCGATGCTTTGGTTTTGCAAATTTTCTTCCTCTATTCCCGTTGCTTCCACTTGCACCTCGAAGACATTGTTAAGGGACATGTTTCCATTAAATTGTGACGTTTCTGCATATTGCTTGCATTCTCCTAATTCTTCCACAATATTTTCAGAGTTTTCCAAGAATTCGCATTTTTCCGACATCTTTCTATTTATTCTCTCTCTAAAAATTAGAGGGACTACAGATATTTTGAAGAAATTAGACAATAATTTCGTTAGGTGGTTAAATGGTATCTAATTTTTGCATATAGACATAGGATGTACTACGAGTATTACTAGATACATAATATGGTAAAAATGTGAATTCTGATAAATAAAGTATATGATTCTAATCTACCTACTCTACTAATATTTGCTACAATTGATTAATTTTAATACTTACTATTCGCAACTGCCACCTAATTAATATGTAAGACACAACAATCACAGATAACAATTCAACAATAATTAAAACAAGTAGTAGTAAAATAAAATAAATCAGGGCCTACTAACTGTAGTTAAATAAATTTTCTACTTAATTATTTGATTTTAATGAAACTTATTTTAATGTATACCACATACACGATTATTCTTTCTAGATTTAGATTAGAACATGAAGATGATTTTGTCGTATTACTTTAAATTATAAAAAATATTTTTACATTTAAAAATTCCTGTTAATCATGTCCCCTGGTGTCTGAATTAGGTATTAGTTTAAAACTAATAGAAATAAACTACTCAAATTTGACCTACCTACCTAATCTATGATCTATGTGACCTACCACATGCCTTCAAAAGTGTGGTTATGTTGCTATAAAATGTCCACAATCCACATGTGAACTTCAACTTAAGTGATTTTATTTTATAGAATAGTGTAAATTTGTTATATCCACAAGATGAAAAATAAATCTGTACGCCACAAAGAATTAAATACTTTTAAGGTTGGTGTTTTGTTAAATTGTTTTTAAAGACTCTTATTTACATATTCTACATTTTAGTTTATACCATTTTCCGAGCGCATATCTAATATCGATGTGGATATTTTCCATAAAGTTGGTCATGAATATGAGACACAAACTGAGGAAAACGAGTCTTATTTTTACCAGGCTATCGATAAATGGAATGTGTTGAATTTAAGTGAAGGTTATGAAGCATTTCGTAAAGAGATACGAGCAAATGGTTATATTACGTTACCTCAAGTATTGCACTCTAAGGATCATATAATTGAAGTGTTAACTAAGCATTTAAAACTGAAAAACCCTTTGTGTCTTCAACCCTTGTTAGAGTAAGTTTTTCATTATGTTCTTTATGATCTTTCTGAGCTACGAAGTGTTGTTTAATTTTAGGATCGTTGTAGCAGTAGCAAAAGATTTACAAAGGGAGTTCTATCAGTATTATCCACAACTTCTAGAAATACTAATTGAGCTGTTAAACACCAAAGACGCAGAACAATTGGAATGGACTTTTACATGTCTTGCTTATTTATTTAAATTTCTTTCGAGATCATTAGTGAAAGATATAAACAACGTTTTTAACACCCTCCTTCCGTTGTTGTCTGATAATAAGCCTGACTATATAAATAGTTTTGCGGCTGAAAGTTTTGCTTTTGTCGCAAGAAAAGTCCGAGACAGAAAAGCATTTCTTACTTTGTTGTTAAAGGCGGTGAGGAGCAAACAAGATGTAAGTTAAAATATTTCGACACGTATCGTCATTTATTAAAATGAATCGTTTTTAGGGCGTTGCGGGTTGTGGGAAATTACTTTTTCATGTCGTTAACGGAATCGACGGCCACTTTCATAGTTCCGCTGAAACGATGCTTCCGTTTTTATTCTTGTCACTGTTCGATGAGAAGTTGCCTCAAATTGTTCTCTTCGAAGTTTTGGAGCAAGTTATAGCAAACATCGTCGTGAACATTCATCCTCAGAAAGGTCTGTTGTTGTGGTCTGTTTTTATAAAAATTTTAGAGAACCTTACCGAAACATTGCGAGCAAAGCCAGATGAAAAGGTTACTACGAATATTGAACTGACATTGAAACTGGTAGGTCAAAGTATTGAGTATAAAGGAGGGAAGTTTCTGCAGGATCCTGTGCCGTTAATTCAAAGTTTAATAAAATTATTAAATTGCAGTGAGCTTACGGAACCCGTTTTGTTAATCGTAGCTCAAATTGGTATTGTACTGTTGCTCTCAAAGCATATTAGAATACCACAAGAACACGCCTCGGGTTTAATTAGAAAATTATTGTCTCTTCCCCACAAATCGGTACTGTTGTATTTCATCGATCAAATCAGTGAATATGCATCATTCGAAGCCTTAATCTTGCCGAGTTTCTTGAAGTATTGCCTGAAAAATAATTTGGACTTTGATTGTTTTCGTTCCTTGACAAAGCTCGTGTTAAAAAAATCACCGCTCTGCGAAAGCGGCATAAAACTGGACGAATGGAATAAGTATCCGCTGGATTTTAAAGAAAATAACCAACAAATTATAAACGTTTTAAAAGATTTTATAACCGTAAGTGACGTAGTTCCAGGAAATTTTGAAAATTACTTTTGCAGTTTGATTTGTTTGCCGCATTTGAACATTAAAGAAAACACAGAATTATCGGAAATATTGAAGAGTAATACAAATTCCTTGATCGAAAGGATAAAAGGCAACGATGATGAAAGACAGTTAAAAAAATTATTATTTGTACTTAACGGTACGGTGGAATGTTTGATCCATTTATCGGGAAGTGCCGTGGTAGCCACAATTTTCAATGAAATTGCTGATTGTTTATTGAACTTGGCACAAAAACCCCAGTTTATTGTCAGTTTGAAGCTTTTAAGTTTATGTTTTACAACGTTGAGGAATAATAGAGATTTAATCACAATGGAGACGTTAATGAAAATTAATACAGCTTTGGAGAAGAATTTTAGTTCCCCCTTTCACGAGGTAAGTTATTTTGAATTTTTTAATTTGAAAATTTGGAAAAATTATTTTCATATTCAAGATTTTTTTGAAATTTATATTATTTTACGGATGTATTTTTATATTTTAGTAGTTTTTAATGATTTATCTATTACCGCAATTTTTACTTTATGTTGAAATTTTTAATTTTTGAACAATTACTAATAAAAAAGTGTAAAAAAATGTTTGCAACAATTTTTTTTATTTAAATAAATATTTCAATGCATATTTTGTATTACTACAATTTTTCAATTTTTTTTATTTGAAAATTTTTTAGATTTTGAAACATTTTGTACAAGAAAATCAACATTTTTTTGCATATTTGTATTGCTGCTTTTTTGATGAAATTTGGAATTTTTTAATTTGAAAATCCAGAATTTTACTATTTTGAAATATTTAATTTTTGAACAATTAAGTCCGGTGATTACTAATAAAAAAAGTCTGTAAAAAAAGTTCGTAACAATTTTTTCATTTAAATAAATTTTTCGATATTTTATATTATGTACTACAATTTTTCAATTTTTTTTCTTTTGAAATTTTTTAGATTTTGAAATATTTTGTACAAGAAAACCAACATTTTTTGCATATTCGTATTGCTGCTTTTTTGATATTTTGAATTTTTTAATTTGAAAATCCGAAAAAATTATTTTCATATTCAATATTTATTTTGAAATTTATTTTATTTTAGGGATGTATTTTTATATTTTAGTAGTTTTTAATTTATCTGTTACCGCAATTTTTACTTTATTTTGAAATTTTTTATTTTTGAACAATTAAATATCCGGTGATTACTAATAAAAAAAGTCTGTAAAAAATGTTCGTAACAATTTTTTTATTTAAAAAAATTTTTCAATATTTTGTACTACAATTTTTCTATTTTTTTTATTTTGAAATTTTTTAGATTTTGTAATATTTTGTACAAAAAAAAACAATTTTTTCTTACATATTCGTATTGCTGCTTTTTTGATGAAATTTTGAATTTTTCTATTTGGAAATCCAAAAAAATTATTTTCATATTCAAAACTATAAATATTAATAAAAAAAATCTGTAAAAAATGCTCCCTCCTAACTTTTTTATTTAAATAATATTAATTTTTTAATACATTAGTACTTATTACAAGTTTTCTTTTTTCTAATTTTTTAAAATTTTCAACTAGAAAATGTGGAGCATAAAAAACAAAAAATAAATAAATTTATATCATTCAAAAATAAAAAAAACATGTCAAATGGTTGCACAAAATGAATATGGGTGAGATATAACCCTCGAAGTATATATTATTTCTATTCAATGCCTACTACTACAAAGCACTACCTTGTGCCTACTGGCAGAGTGACCTACTGATCTTTTTTCAAAACCAACTGCACTCTTTAACACGATATTTACCATTTTTGTGTTAATTTTTGTTATTTTTTAAGCAACCAAAATATTCTTTAAATTAAATCTTCAAAATTTAGGCGATATCGATTAAGAAAAGTCCATATCCTGTTCATCGATGTTGCGTTAATAAATGTATGTCATTTTTAGGTTCGTTTGCTGACGTCTCACATTTACACCTTCTTCGACACCCTTTCAGAATTTAAATTAAGGCACTCCACAGACCCGGAAGTAAAAGCAGAAGCCTGGAGAGTGTTTTCTATTATTTACAACGTCGAATCGATAGAACCTCACGTTCACACGTACCGAGATCAGTTACAAAATCTCGAAAAACTTTCCTTCGACAAACCGCAGATGCTGATGTGCCAACAAACGGATTTCAAGACCATACCGCTGAGGTATTTATGCGGTACGCTGTATATAAATTTCCAGGTCTTGTGGGTACCCATCACAAAAATTATTACCTCGCACGCGAAGGGCTCGGAAGTAAATATTTTTTGGGTCGTGTTCGGTGAGGAATTGAGGAACGTTTGCGATAACGTTAAAAATCCCAAGGAAATAGCCGTCACCGATCTCGAAGGAAGCACGTGCGATTTTTTGGTGGAGATGTTCAGAGAAAGTCAGAAATTGAACGTGAAGCCTGATTTCACTAATTACCGACTGATGCTGTGGAAGGCGATGTCTATGTTTCCCGAAGTAGCGGAGGCTAAAACTAGGGACGTTTCGGAACTGTTCCTGGATTTCGTGGGGTAAGTTTCTAAAAAAAATTCTATAAATTCAATACAATACATTGCTGTCATTTTTACTTATATTGCGGGTATAATTCAGTGCTGGCCGGGGCATTAGTCCCCAGAGTAGTTGTTTTATGCGATGTCATCAGTTTCGAAACTTTTTTGCTTATTGGCGGCACAGATCTTGCTTTCATAACATTTGTGAAGTAGCAGGTTGCTCTGTGCTAGTGTGGCCATTTGAAGGCTTCGAAATTGGGCAGTAGTGGCTGTTCATAGATGTAGTAGCACTGTTACACTTACCTCTCTCACTCAACATCTGTAGTTAAACACAAATATTTGAAAAAACCAAAAAAAAAATAATAATAGGTTTGAAACTGGTATACGCCTGGTGGGTTTGGATGACGATGCTTCATCGGTTACTTCAATTGTCAAAATTAATCAAGGCCGGTTAACCTAACCCAAAAAACCGGTAAATTTTGCCATTCGTTACTGACCAATAATCGCAGCGTAGTTGTTTATTAAAAATTGCAAGTATAACTTGTTCTTTACCGTCTAGCTTGACATAACAAGTAAGAGAGTCAAATCGTGGCGCAGAATACAACAAAAGCCTTTTTTTTACTTGTTTTGTTTATTTAAATTCCTAATGATTTGTTGTGTAAGAATTATTTGCGCAATTTTAGGACAGAATATATGAAAGCCAACTCCGATGTTGGTTTGGTGTGTAGCATTAAGGAAAACTCTAAAGAACACATCAACGATGAAGAAGCCAACGACTTAGAAGACCAAGATGTGTTAAGAGAAACTTCAAATGCTCCGTCGAGACCTAGAAACAAAGCAACCATAAGGTAACGTCTAAAAACTCATCGTTGACATAATTCAGCATTCTACCTTTATTGCAGGACACTTCTGTGTAAATTAAACGTGTTCTCTCAAATCCGAAGCCCCATGTCCATGTACCGCGAACCCGACCTGTACAAACTCTACTTCGACCTTCTACAACACAGAGACGCCAACATTCAAAAGGCCGCCCTGGATTGCATCTTAACTTACAAACACAAATACTTAACACCTTACAAACAGAACTTATATAACTTGGTCGACGACAAAAATTTTAAGAACGAAATAACCACATTCCGTGTAGACAAAGAGAGTAACGTTATCGTTCCAGAACATCGACAGAATTTGATCCCCGTTATAATGCAAATAGTGTTCAGCAAAATGAGCGCCAAAACCGGTTTAAGAACCGGAGGCAAAGCGTCCAGTCAACTGAGGCGAAATCTCGTCCTGAGGTTCCTAGCGGGATGCGAGGAAAGCGAGATGTTGAGCTTCGTGGAGAAAGCTTTCCGGTTTTACGGGAAATTCCTCCATAACGACCCCGAAATACTAGTCGGTTCCATAGTTAGAGACCTGGATCTTGAAAAATTTATCCCGCCGAAGAGGCTACAAAGCACGGTTAATTTATTGAACGTGATTTTGGAACAATTTGGCGGCTTGATGGGCGATAAGCTTCTGAGTTACCTCCTCGACATCGTTCTCGTCGTCGGGGCCTTAGTCAAAGCGGCGTTCGACAGAAACGAGCAGATACACGCCGGATTCCTACCGATATTACGAAACGTACGAACGTCCTGCGTAAAAATAGTAAGCAGGTTTTTTGAGCACTTCGAGAGGTACCCCTGGTCCAACAAGCAGATCAACGCGATATTCACCGCGTTCGTCTGGCCCTACTTGGACAAGTTGAACGTTGAGGGCATCCACAGCCCGACGACTCTGTTGAAGTTGTTTTTGCAGTGGGGTTCCAACCCCAGGTACTTTCCGTTACTCGTCAAACACGAGGAGGGAAACGCGGACCGATATGTGTTACCCCACGTGGTGCAGTTACTGTTGAACGAAAAGAGTCACGTCACCGTCGTAAACGCTATCGAGGAAATGCTGGAAAAGATGTTAAGTCTGCAGCCGGACGAGGAAGATCGGCGGTTAGCGATACCCGTCGATAATTTGTTGCCGGTCCGAGCGGATATCTTGAAGAAAATCGGGGTGATCGACCAGTTAAATTACGGCAGCTGCGTTTTGCTTCCGCACGTCCCGCGGGTTCTTGACAAGATCAAGAGGAAACTGGCGGGTAAATCGAAGAACTTGAACCAGAGGGAGTTGTTCGTTCTGTCGAGGGTATCGGAGCTGGTTTGGGAAGCCGATATAAGCGACACGATTTTGCAGCTGCTTCTCCCCGTCGTTTTGAAAAAATGCAACGGTCCTGTCGGCGAGGAAGTTGTCCTGAAGTTCCTCACCACGATACTGAATCTAACCAAGAACGTTGACAAGCCTGAGATTCATTTGAAGGAAATATCTCCCTTGTTCGGGGAAATATCGTTCCCTTCGTGCAGGAAGATTTTGACACAAGTGTTGGATATCGTAGCCGGTAAATCGAACGACGAAAACCTCAGGATCGCTTCCGAACTGATACAAGAACTAAACGCGTGGGATTGCAAGTGGATCGATCAACCGGACTTCGAAAGACGGCACAACGCGTTTAAAAAGGTTCAGGAACTCATCGCCGAGGATAAAATAGAAATACGACTCGGCGTATTATTAATTCATAACCTCTACTTTTCGTTGAAGAACGAGAAAGACTTGTCGTTACGCGAGAACTCGACCCACACCTTAAAACTAATCTGCCCGGCTCTGATCAACAAACACCAAAACGTACACAAACATATCGACTATATTTTAAACGACACCATTTTCACGCTTATCAGAAGCGGGATGAAAAATTCAAAGAGCGACATCCGCAACGACTGCATTTCGTTACTCGGACACCTGGCTAGGGAGTGTCCGGAAAGCCACTTCATCTTGAGGGACCTGCACAAGTACACCAACAAAATGGACTTGGAAGTGGACTTCTTCGAGAACCTGACGCACCTGCAGATTCACAGACACGCCAGGGCCCTCCTGAAGTTCTGTCAGATCACGAAGGAGCAGGTCGCACCGCCGAATCCAAGAACTTTAACACAGTTCGTCCTTCCTCTAGCCTCGTTTTACTTGTGCGCCGAGAAGTACTCGTCGAAGAACAGTATCGTGGACGCCGCAATCGAAACTATAGGCGTCGTGTGCAGGATCTTACCGTGGCATCAGTACGAGGGCCTCCTCAAGTATTACCTGACCAGACTGAGGTACAAAGTCGAGTACCAGAAGCAGCTGGTCCGGCTCACGGTGGCTATTTTGGATGCTTTCCATTTCGACCTCAGTAAAGGTCATCCGAGCGAGGAGGGCGCGGGAATTAACGCGGAAGTACTAGTGCAGGCAGGGCAGAAGGAAGAAGAGGAAAAGAGAAACGATGAAAACGTTAATGAAGTTGATGTGGATGAAGAATTGAAGATTGACGACACTGAAGACGTTGAAGAAGAGGAAGATGGGGAGAACGAACAAGGCGATGCCGGTGAATTAGTGAAGATTTGCGAGAAAACTGCGGTGTTGTGCAAGTCGACGGCCACTAGAGTCATCAGGACCATCCAGGTAAGCCACTTTACAACAAATCAAAAAGACCTGGGTCCCCGGTTAAGTTTTCAGAATAGTCCTATCAAAAAAGAGTGAGATAAAAGCTGTAGGATGTCAAAAAACCAACATGACCTTGGATTTGACCTTGACTTTAACCTTCAAAGTCAAACCAAGGTCATCTTGAAAATATTTCATGGAACACCCTATTTTTATGCCAGCAATCTAGTGTCTTTTACGTCCAAATTTGGGGTCAGACAAATTTGACCTTGAAACTTAAGGTGAAGGTCACCAGCGCTTTCTTGATATCCTCCAACTATTATCTAAAACTTTCTTTATGGAACTCAATTCCGAAAATTTATTGGAAATTATCGAAATAGTGATGAAAATGAAAAAAATAAAAATAGTTGAACGAAAATCGTTGAGCGCCCATTAAACGAATATTTTGTTACTTCCAGTTGGTACTTTTACCTCAGCTACACAAATCGTTAGCGGAACTGACGCACCACGATTCCTCTCACAAACTAAACAGGAGGAAGACGGGGTCCGAGAGAGAAGAGGAAGATCTGTTGAGGGTACCGATCTCTCTGGCTGTCGTTAAGCTGTTGCAAAGGTTGCCCGTCCAAATTCTCGAGTCGAATTTACCGGGGTGAGAAATTTTTATATACACGTTTTTACGTTGGGGTTTTCCTTTTATACCGACAAACAAATTTTTCGAATAACGTTTTTTCTGAAACTCAGAAATACCAGAAAAGCCATTTGAAATTATTCCGTGATAAAATATTCAGTTTTTATACTAAAAACACGCGAATTAGTTACATTCTTATAGTAGTCATGTAAAAGCATTGGTAGTTTGGATTTTAAACAATACTTATACCGCTTGTATATAATTTCTGTTGTTGAGATGGTCATATTTTCAGTCGTGATGAATTAGTTGATGATATTAGTGTACGGTGAGTGTTATCAAAATGCTACCATAGCATCGCGATTGTGAATCAACGTTTCACCGTACAATTCTTAGGTTGGGATAGATTTGTTGTAGTATTACGACTGTTACTAGCAATTTTATAATTTCCAAAAAAAAAAAAAAAAAAAACGAATGGTTTATGGAAAATTGCCGAACAAATTTCCAACATTTTTCTTTAAATGCGGGTTATTCGAGACCACCCGTTCACACCTAAAATCCAAAGTACATGGTTATGTGAAAAACGGTTCAGATGAAAGTTACTGGTCTCCATAGGGCTCATATTCTCGTGACCTTATCTGTGACCTTGAAGGTAATTTTCAAGGTCAGCTTAGTTTTTTTTAAATGGAGATCCTTATTTTCAACCCCGGATTCGAAAATAGCGGAAAATTCTACGTACAGATGATGCATCACGTGTCATTTGACCCCCCCAAGGTCACATGAAGGTCAATTTTTTTTACTAAATATTTCCACCCAAATGACCCAGCAAAGTCAAGGTTTAGCGAAAAATGTGTCAGAGAAGCGCAAAATTTTTAACTAACACATTTCGATGACTGGAAACAATTTGTAAGGTTATTTCAAGGTCAACTTCGATTTTTTACGTAGGAACCCTCATCATATAGCAGTAAAAATTGTTTCCAATGTCAAAGTCAAGGTTATCGAAGCGTGTCACTTCAAAATTTTGCAACGTTTATCCGACACATTTTTCGCTAAACCCTAACTTTGCGGGGTTATTTGGCTGGAAAGATTCTGTTAAAAAAAATTGACCTTCATGGGGGGTCAAATGGTCGTCATCTGAACGTAGAATTTTCCGCACTTTCCTCATCCGGGGTTGAAAATAAGGGTTTCCATTTTAAAAAACTAAGTTGACCTTGAATAACCTTGAAATGACCTTCAAGGTCACAGACAAGGTCACAACAATATGTGCCAATTGGAGACTAGTACCTAAATACCTAAATATTTTATCATCTTGGTTGTTTTCCTAATAAAGTTGTATTTATTGAGAATGCGATTTTTTAAGTTTTATTAAGATTTAAAGGTGACAACACATTTTTCCAAATTTTATCTTAAAAAAACGAAACTGTATCAATTTATGTAAGTAATCAAAAGAATTGGGTTAAGTACAGTTCCCTGAGGAATTCCCATGAAACCAAGCCGACTAAACAAATTTTTTAGTGTTTTTAAAAATTTTTAGCAAATGTTGAAATTAAACCAACCGCATTGACTGAAATAAATATTTCAATCAACGCTGATCGGTTGATAATTTGCAATTTCACTTTTACATATTTTTTTTTTATAAAGAACCAATAACAAAAGAGTTATTTTTGTGTTTCTAAAAAAATTTATTTACTTTTTTGAGTTTTACGTTAAAAAAAATAAGGTAGAGTGCGATGCGTGTCAAATTTTCAGGGTATTTTTGAAGCTGTGCACTTTCCTCAAGTCTAAGTTAGACAGCGTCCGGAGGACGGCTAGAGAGACTCTGCAGAAAATAATGTTGACGCTGGGGCCAAAGTACTTAAGCTTGCTGCTGGCCGAGATAACGCCCCTGCTGACTAGAGGCTTCCAAGTTCACGTCCTGGTGTACACCCTACACGGGGTGCTCCATTGCTTGAAAAACCTGTACCAGCCAGGCGACATCGATAAAATACTACTGTCCGTGTTGAACGTAAGCAAACTTTAACAGACAGTATTTCGATGGTATAAAATCTATTTAATCCACAGCTCTGCACGGCGGATCTCTTCGGAACGCTCTCCGACGAGAAGGAAGTGAAGAAAATCACCGTGAAGGTATTCGAGGCGAAGTCCACGAAAAGCTACGACACGCTCCAGATCCTAGCTCAGTTCGTTACCCAGTCCTGCTTGCTGGACCTGCTCCTGCCGCTGAAACGAGTTCTAGAAACGTCGCACTCTTTCAAAACCACCCACAAGGCGCAGGAAGCTCTGAGATACGTCGCCTTGGGCCTGGTGGACAATTCCTTCGTCTCGGTAGAGTCGCTGCTGAAGTTCGCTTACGGCACCGCTTCCGAGAGCATTCCCCAGTTGGTTACCGCGAAGAAAAAGTCGCTTACCGAGAAGGAAAGGGAGAAACTGCGAAGGGAGAAGGAGGACTGTTTTGTTATTCCGAAAGTCCCGGGTAACAGGACCGCGTACAGGGAGCAGAACGTGAGGATCTCGGCGCAGACCAACGCTCACTTGCTGGTGGAGTTTGGGCTGAGGCTGTGCTTTGTGATGCTGAAGAGGGACAAGCTGAGGGATGAGGACTATAAGCCTTTCATCGATCCGTTCGTGGCGGTGTTTCAGAGGTGTCTCAAGTCTAAACACGTCAAGGTGAGTTTGGATTCATTCATAATCTAACCTCCTCAAAACGGCGTATAAACAAATAGTGTAATTTGTTTATAAGTTTGATTTATCAGTGTTGCGAGAAACAACTACTCCGAGAACTATATACCCCTACCGGCATTGAATTATACTCGCAACACCTAGGATCGTTTGTCAGTTTAACCCGCCAGGCACAGACTGGTTTCGGACTTATTGGTCCTCACAGTGTCATAGGTTTTTCAAAAAAAAATCATAACTTGTTTATTTATAAACATTAAGACTTCAAATTTCGTTTCCAGGACGTTTTTTAAAGGGTTAAAAATTACTATAAAATGCATTTTTTTCAATATATTTAACCGTTATTATGAAGTTTAACGGTTCATTGATTTATTCCCGAAATTTCAAGTCTTAATGTTTATAAATAAACAAGTTATGAATTTAAAAAAAAAAAACGCCATCTCGGCTAAAAATGGTCTAAGAACAATTTTTTTTTAAATTCCTGAAAAATTACCAGGATACTGGGTTATTAGTACTAACCTCACTCTAGATTGTTTCAAAGTGAAAGAAACTTTTTTTCTACTAGCGTATTTACTTTCAGCTTAGCACCTTAACTCTTCAGTGCCTCAGCTGGACCATGAGGTACGATCTGCCCTCTATGAGAGAGCAGGTCAAATCGATCACGAAGGACATCTTTGCCATCCTCCACAAGTACGCTTCGGCTGGATTGAGCAAAGGCGACAACTTTGATTTGGTCGTGGCTGCTTTCAAGGTAACAGAATACGTACAAATCGCATAAAAATTAACGGACCAAGGTAGTGATTCGACACGGTTGAGTTGTGGGTGCGAGAAGCCTATGCTCCTTACCTACGCGTGCGGTTTGTTTCTAGTGCGATGAACCGACGCTTGTAAAACGACAATCCGAAAGAGAAGATCCTTAAAAACAGATTAATTTGCGCTAATTTTGACGCACGTAATTTTTGTTTGTTTCCAGGCGATGGCCGTTCTTGTCAGGGACGTAAAACACCACACGATCGACACAAACCAACTGAAAGCGTTACTCTTGTACGCGGAGCAGGATATGCACGATCACGACCGACAGGCCACGGCTTTCACTCTGTTGAAAGCGATAATTGCGAGGAAACTAATAGTCCCGGAGATAAACGATGTGATGGAAAAAGTGGCGGATCTCAGTATAACCTCCGAGTTGAGTCACGTCAGGGAACAGTCCAGGGTGGTTTTCCATCAGTTCCTAATGGACTACCCCCTGGGGAACACCCTGGAAAAGCATTTGGGGTTCTACGTTTCCCAGATGAGTTACGAACTCCAATACGGCAGAGAATCGGCCATTGAAATGATACGGACGCTGATAAATTCCTTCCCGTTGGTAAGAAACGATCGTAATAAAAATCTGTATCGTTTGTATTTTGTGATTTTTTTCCAGGACGTCTTGAAAACACACAGCGGGACGTTGTTAATAACGTTGGGTGCCAGACTGGTTAACGATGAGATCCCCGAATGCAGGAAAATGATCGCCGACGCGTTGTCTTCGATGCTGCAGAAGTTGCCCAAGGCGGACCGGGACCCGCTTTTCGAAATCGTTACGCTTTGGTTAAACGATAAACATGTGAGTACGTTTTAATGACACCGAAAACACGTTTTGTTAATATTTTCGAAAACTCAACTTATAATAAAAATACCCGGTATGGCAGCTGTAGGAGTAGTTTCGTTTTATAAATACGCCGCAATTATAGAACTATTTCTGTTGTTTTAGGTGAGTCACCGTCGGCTCGCCGCACAGCTCTGCGGCCTCTTCGTGACCGTCGAGAAGAGCGATTTCGAAAGCAGACTGGCCGTTCTCACTCCCCTACTACTGAAACAGTTCGGACTGAACAATTCCCCGGGAAAGTTCGTCAAACTCAAAAAAGACGATGAATCGACAGACGCGGAATACCAGCGAGTCAAAGACCACCACCTCTTCCAAGTTCTGCAGCTGCTGTTGAAAATCTGCGCGCAGTGCCCTTCGTTCTTAAAACAAACGCACACCGTCGAATCTCTGGCCTTGCACGTACAAACGTTGCTGGCGTATCCGCACGACTGGGTAAGGTTAGCGGCGGCGCAGTTTCTCGGGTTCGTTTTATCGGCTTTGGACATCGAACGTTTGTCGTACTTGATCGCCTTGAACGGATCCGACGACGGTTACCTTTACAGCGACCCCGTCAACGCCGTGAAATCTTTGACCTTGGACTTGTGCGATCAGCTGCAAGCGGACGGTATCAAAAGCGACTTAGCGGAGCAAGTCGTGAAAAACTTGGTGTTCGTCGCGAGGGTGTTGCCCAAAGCTTCCGACGGCGATACGAAAATCAGTCTGCTGTGGCTGACGAAACGTATGCGGAAAGTGGTGAATGCCGAGATCGTCGCGAATTCCACCAGCACCGTTCTGCGGACGGAAGTGTTCAAATGGGTAGCGGGCGTGGGGATGGCCTTGGAAGTTGAGGCTATCATGCCGGTTTTGCACCATTTGCTGGCGCCGTTGGTGAGGGAAATGATTACGACGGAAGAGAAGAACGCCCCGCTCCGGCAGTTGTCCAAGGAAGTGGCGAATCTCATCAAGAATAAAGTCGGCATGGAGGCCTACACCTCTACTTTGTCGAGGCTGCAACGAACTTTATCCGTGAAGAGGGCGGAGAGGAAAAGGAGCAGAACTCAGTTGGCGGTGACCAATCCGGAAATGTTCGCTAAGAAGAAGATTAAGAGGCACGAGAAGAAGAAGGAGTCGAAGAAGAGGAAGTTGGCCGAGATGAAGGGGACGAAGAAGAGTTTTAAAAAGAGGAAAGTTATGGAGTTGGACAGTTCGGAGATTATGTGACGTTCGACGGGCGAAGTAGCGACGTTTCGTTCTTTCGAGGGATTTTTAAAAGTAAGTGCGCGTTGACGGGGATGTAACACAAATAAGTGTAAAAAACGAAGTATTTACGAGGAAAACAAACTAATTCGTGTTATTCCGTGAAAATTTTTACCGTTTTCTTTGAAAATTTTTTTATTGCTCAATTTTTCACCAAAAAAATCTCAAATATTTCCAGCACTACATATAGTATACAGCTGCGGACAAAAAAAGGTTTCCTATTTACGTTTTTTGACCAGTTTTGTACTTGAAACATTTTATATGGGAACATTTTTTTGTCCTCGACTGTACAAAAGATACAAAGATTATAGAAAAGTTGTGATACTTATGTTGTTATTGATTTTTATTCAAAATCAATAAAGTAAAGAAAAAAGTAACTCTTTTTTATTGATACCAGCTTCAAGACTGTAGTTAAAAGAACTACAACAACAGACATGATTACTGATTATTTAGTGGTAAACAAGCAACTATCATTAGAAGAAATTGAGGTGAAAGAAATACCGTCCATTGAAAATTCACTCAAACGCTATCTAGTTAAGTTACCATTTGAAATGAAAGAAAAGGTTTATGATTCAGCATTTTGGCCTGAGGGAGTAGGCGTGAGGCGCTTTGACTTTAGTAAACATAAAGAGTTTCTGGAGTCACAGGAAAGTGGTGGAAATTTTTTACAGAATTAAAAAAGCTGGAAGATACACATACACAAAAATCTATAGAAATAAGTGTAATACACCAAAATGCACAATCTATTGGTAACTGTACAAATATGTTAGAAGCATTAGTCAATAGTTATGTAGGCTGCTCCTTCTTATGTATATCTGAACATTGGAAGACTGAACACCAACTGAGGGAACATGGAATAAACAATTTTTACCTTGTGTCTTATTTCTGCAGGAAACATCAGGAACATGGGGGGTCAGCAGTGTTTGTGAAGAAAGGTATCAACGGAAAAGAANATTTTTTTTATATTTGTGAAATTTTTGATTCTGTGCGTTCAGTTGTAAGTGGACGGAATCAAATACGACTTAACGGAGCAAGTCATGAATTATGTGAAAATGTTAAGAAATTTTAAAATTGCAAATAGCCTACTCTACTAATTTTTTATTACAACTGCGGACAAAAAAAAAGTTTCTCATTTATGTTTTTTGACCAGTTTTGTACTTGAAATTCTTAAACATTTTAAATTGGAACATTTTTTGTCCTCGACTGTACAGAGGATACAGAGATTATAGAAAAGTTGTGATACTTATGTTGTTATTGATTTTTATTCAAAAGCAATAAAGTAAAGAAAAAAGTAACTCTTTTTTATTGATACCAGCTTCAAGACTGTAGTTAAAAGAACTACAACAACAGACATGATTACTGATTATTTAGTGGTAAACAAGCAACTATCATTAGAAGAAATTGAGGTGAAAGAAATACCGTCCATTGAAAATTCACTCAAACGCTATCTAGTTAAGTTACCATTTGAAATGAAAGAAAAGGTTTATGATTCAGCATTTTGGCCTGAGGGAGTAGGCGTGAGGCGCTTTGACTTTAGTAAACATAAAGAGTTTCTGGAGTCACAGGAAAGTGGTGGAAATTTTTTACAGAATTAAAAAAGCTGGAAGATACACATACACAAAAATCTATAGAAATAAGTGTAATACACCAAAATGCACAATCTATTGGTAACTGTACAAATATGTTAGAAGCATTAGTCAATAGTTATGTAGGCTGCTCCTTCTTATGTATATCTGAACATTGGAAGACTGAACACCAACTGAGGGAACACGGAATAAACAATTTTTACCTTGTGTCTTATTTCTGCAGGAAACATCAGGAACATGGGGGGTCAGCAGTGTTTGTGAAGAAAGGTATCAACGGAAAAGAAAACAAGGAGTTAAAACTGTTATCGATTGCAGGTGAAATTGAGTGCTCAGCTGCAAATATTAGAATAAATGGTGAACATATCATTGTAATGTCAATATACAGACCATCTGGTGCTAATTATGAAGTGTTTCTAATTCAAATGGAAGAAATGTTAGAATGTGTAAGTAAGAACAAAAATAGCAAAGTAATAATTGCGGGTGATTTTAATGTAGATATATGCAAGGACTATAATTTAAAAAATGAACTATTGTCACTGTTACAGTCATATAACTTTGAACATAATATAAAAGAGTACACTCGAATTACACCTACTAGCAAATCTGGAATTGACAATATATTTACTAATTTTCAGTGACCCTATGCAAAGATGGCCAAAGTGCAAGATCTGATGTTGTTGAAACGACATTGGGTGTACCGCAGGGAAGTACTATTGGCCCTCTTTTGTTTATAATATATATAAATGACCTAAACGAAGTAATAAACATAAATAGAAAGTGTGATATTGTGAATTATGCAGATGATACCAATATAATAATGAGCAGGGGGAGCTTTACTGAGCTATTGGAAGATGCAGATAATATATTATCTGAAACAAATAAATGGTTCACTAAAAATAAACAGATCTTAAATAAGGACAAAACAGGTGTAGTACTATTTAAAACCACACATGCTCAATATGAAACAATACAAAATATTAATTTTACAATGTCACCAATTAATTCAACTCATAGTACTAAGTTTCTTGGTATTTATATAGACACTGTGCTAAATTTTAAAGACCATGTCCAACATGTTGTTATGCGACTTAATAATGTAATTTATTCAATGAGGATTATAGCGCAATACATAAAGCGAGATGCATTGAAAATAGTTTACCATGCTAACTTTGAATCTGTGTTTCGATATGGTATAATTTTTTATGGCAGTAGTTCAGATGCCGAAAGGATTTTTATTATTCAAAAGCGCGTGTTACGAATAATCCTAAAAATGAAGAGTAGAGAATCGTGCAGGGGAAAATTCAAGGAAAATAAAATTTTAACTTTCACAGCTGTTTACATACAAGAAATATTATTATTCTTTTTAAAAAACAGGCATCTGTTCACAAAAATGTCTTCACAACATAACCATCAAACCAGAACTGAGGATTATTCCTATCCGATACACAGATTGACAGTTACAGAAAAAGGTGCCTTTTATAATTGTATTAAAATGTATAATAACTTGCCTGCTGATGTAAGAATAATTTCAGATATAATAATTTTCAAAAAGAAAATTTTCAATTTATTAATAGATCTGGAACCATATACTGTAAATGAGTATTTTAATAGTAATAGCTTGTAAGGATGAATTGATCTCTGAAATCTATTACATAGGTATTTCTTTTTTCTATATGGATAGTTGTAAAGTTGTTAGTGCTGTAATAGCAAAGCTCTGTTGACATTATTTTCATTAATGTTACTGGATCTATGTAACTGTTCTTGAAAATAAAGATTATTATTATTATTATTATTAAGACTTCTGGTTTCGAGAAAATTTTATGCAGACTTTTCCATGACTTAAAAAAATTAAATTTTTTTTATATTTGTGAAATTTTTGATTCTGTGCGTTCAGTTGCAAGTGGACGGAATCAAATACGACTTAACGGAGCAAGTCATGAATTATGTGAAAATGTTAAGAAATTTTAAAATTGCAAATAGCCTACTCTACTAATTTTTTATTACAACTGCGGACAAAAAAAAAAGTTTCTCATTTATGTTTTTTGACCAGTTTTGTACTTGAAATTCTTAAACATTTTAAATTGGAACATTTTTTGTCCTCGACTGTACAGAGGATACAGAGGTTATAGAAAAGTTGTGATAATTATATTGTTGCTGATTTTTATTCAAAATCAATAAAGTAAAGAAAAAAGTTACTCTTTTTTATTGATACCAGCTTCGAATCTTCTGATTATGAGAAACTTTTACGTAGACTTTTCGATTATTAACAAAATTCAATTTTTTTTATATTGTGAAATTTTTTATTCTTTGCGATCAGTTGCAAGTGGACGGAATCAAATACGACTTAACAGAGCAAGTCATGAATTATGTAAAAATGCTAAGAAATTTTAAAATTACAAATGGCCTATTCTACATATTTTTCTACTACGTATAGTATACTGCTGCGGACAAAAAAAAGTTTTCCATTTACGTTTTTTGACCAGTTTTGTACTTAAAACAATTAAAACATTTTAAATTGAAACATTTTTTTGTCCTCGACTGTACAAAGGATATATTTGTTTATGAAATTTTTGATTCTGTGCGATCAGTTGCAAATGGACGGAATCAAATACGACTTAATAGAGCAAGTCATGAATTATGTAAAAATGCTAAGAAATTTTAAAATTACAAATGGCCTATTCTACATATTTTTCTACTACGTATAGTATACAACCGCGGACAAAAAAAAGTTTCTCATTTACGTTTTTAGACCAGTTTTGTACTGAAAACTCTTAAACATTTTAAATTGGAACATTTTTTTGTCCTCGACTGTACAGAGGATACAAAGGTTATAGAAAAGTTGTGATAATTATATTGTTACTAATTTATATGAACTGTGAACAAAAAAAAAAAAGTTTTCTGCTTAAACTACTTATGGTCTTTTACCAGTTTTGTGTTTGAAACTCTTCAATATTTCAAGTGGGAAACTTTTTGGTCCGCGACTGTACAGTTTATAGAAAAGTTGTGATAATTATATTGTTACTAATTTATATGAACTGTGAACAAAAAAAAAAAAGTTTTCTGCTTAAACTACTTATGGTCTTTTACCAGTTTTGTGTTTGAAACTCTTCAATATTTCAAGTGGGAAACTTTTTGGTCCGCGACTGTACAGTTTATAGAAAAGTTGTGATAATTATATTGTTACTAATTTATATGAACTGTGAACAAAAAAAAAAAAGTTTTCTGCTTAAACTACTTATGGTCTTTTACCAGTTTTGTGTTTGAAACTCTTCAATATTTCAAGTGGGAAACTTTTTGGTCCGCGACTGTACAGTTTATAGAAAAGTTGTGATAATTATATTGTTACTAATTTATATGAACTGTGAACAAAAAAAAAAAAGTTTTCTGCTTAAACTACTTATGGTCTTTTACCAGTTTTGTGTTTGAAACTCTTCAATATTTCAAGTGGGAAACTTTTTGGTCCGCGACTGTACAGTTTATAGAAAAGTTGTGATAATTATATTGTTACTAATTTATATGAACTGTGAACAAAAAAAAAAAAGTTTTCTGCTTAAACTACTTATGGTCTTTTACCAGTTTTGTGTTTGAAACTCTTCAATATTTCAAGTGGGAAACTTTTTGGTCCGCGACTGTACAGTTTATAGAAAAGTTGTGATAATTATATTGTTACTAATTTATATGAACTGTGAACAAAAAAAAAAAAGTTTTCTGCTTAAACTACTTATGGTCTTTTACCAGTTTTGTGTTTGAAACTCTTCAATATTTCAAGTGGGAAACTTTTTGGTCCGCGACTGTACAGTTTATAGAAA